AAAAGGCAGAGAAAGATAGTTAACTACAAACAATGAAAATAATAATACTACAACTCATCTTATGTATTCCCATAAATGCATTTTATAATAACGCGACATATACCCTTGTAGAACCCATAGACAAAAATCTAATTATAGAAATTGACTCGAAAACTACAGAAGTAAATCTTCACATAGAGTTCCCACATGTATCAGAACCAGACATTAAAAGCTGCCTCAAAGACCCTGAAGATTACAAATCAATCAACGTTCTCATAGCCCACGGTATCATAGACAGACTGCGAAACAACAAGAATTATTTTACGTGCGAAAACTACCACTGCAACGACCTTCACGCGAAGCACGAAGGACTTCAAGCAAAAGGACTTCAAAAATTTAACACATTCCTTGAAAATACAAATTTACAACATGATGAAGAAGTTTACGGAAGAAGCAGCCCAAAACCAACAGCAGAACCACCAAAATTGCCAGAAATACAATACGAAGATGGCTCAATAGAAACTGTCAAACAAGATGACAGAAATCCATTAATTTCACTACCCTACACACTCAGAGGAACTGAAGTAAATAATACGATAGAAACGATAATCACAAACTACTTACCAGCAGGAAGGACTTACAATTTTGGTTACAGACTAATACGAAGAAATCTGAAATGGACACCATTCAACTCCGTCAACAATGTGACAACACACAACATCTTTAAGGAATATGTGTTGAACTCGGGAAAAAGCGATTTAGAAAAAATAGGACTTCAATGCAAACCAACAAATGTCTTTTGGATGGTAGTAAAAAACAAAATGCTTATCGAAGAGGTGGGTATCCATATGAGTATGAACGACGAAGAAAGAGCCTGGCTCAACACTGAAGAAGGCCACGATTGGCTTGAAAACAATCTCGAGTATAATATCAAAGTAATTTACTTATCGGACGAAGAAAAAGAAGCAATGGAAGAAGACTACATAGATACGGCCATGTATGGGAAACACTGCACAGTAATGGCATATGACTACTTCAGCATTACATGCCCGCTTCCCCACGAACCAATGAGCAAACAGAACATGTACTTTGTAGTACATATAGAATTGTCAGAAGAAGCTTGCAATATTTTCCAGAATTATCTCCAAAAAGAAGGCCTCCCAACATATCAGCTCACTACCCATTGGGGATGGTATTCAATCGACCCTAAAGCTATAAATGCACGAAGACGTGGCAAACGACAAGCAGTAGCAGTTGCATCAGGACTAATAGGAGGACTTATAATGGAACACTTATACCGAGGTTCACTTAAACAAAAAGAAGAGGAAGAAATTAGAAGTATGGAGAAAGACATAGAGCATATCAAAAGTAACACAATTGCCATCGAAACTGTCATCGCTGAAGAAACATGTAAGCTAGAATCACAAATAATAGAATCAACAATTAGTCAAATAGTAAATGCAAATGTTGAAAAATTCTTAATGAGGATAAATCAGCTAATAGATATAAGCGACACAACAATTCTGAACGCTTTTCTAAATAAATGTAAAAAATTGAATTCGGCAAAAAATTACATAACAACGAGCTGTTTATATCTATTTAACAAAAATCGAGTTCAATTAATCGGAATTTTCAAAGATGCAGAAATAGCGTATAAATTAGTTTTTCGATACTTCATGCAGATTCCATTAGCTGAAAAAAAGTTCATTCCTACCAATTCGTATGAACGTTGCACCGAAATTAGAGAATAATAATGATTATCTGATGCCGAAAATTCCAGAATTTTTATTTTTAAATCAAGAAATAATGGAAATAATCACAGCAAAGCACTGCTCCGAATCAACAAATATAATATCATGTAAGCTTACAAATTTAAACAATGATTCACATGAAAGAATTTGCGCTCGAGCTCTGATTAACTCCAAAAGTGATCTTCCAATAACATGCTACCCACTAACAATCAAAGGACAGCAAGACACTTGTTACATATCTCTTGCGAAAAGAGGTATATTAATCAGCACACACAAAGAATCAAAGATCATTCTAAAAGAAAATGATATCGCAAATGAATTACAGCTGTTTAAAGGTCGAAATTTCATAAGCGCGGATAAAATAAGGGGCGAAGAAATTTTAGTAGACTGTTATCCCTCCTTATTCTTGCCCGCTAGCTTATTTGAGAAACAAAAACCTACCAACATTAATATCACAGTTACACCCGTTGAATTTGGAAAAAACTTTTTTAACCAAGACGATCAAATTTTACCTTTATTTAATAACAAAGTCATGAACATGATACCATCTCAGCATCACTCAAAAATAAAATATTATTTTGGAAAAATTGAAAAGGCTACTACTATCATCATTATACTTATCATTATATTAACCCTACTAAAAAACCTCCTGAAATGCTGTTTAACTTCTACAAATAAACTCACAGGACTAGGAACTAGATCACGCTCTAGAAAAGCGAAGATAAAATTTTAATACAGTCACACAAAGAAAGCAAAAGATGTTCCGATAAGAAGAACCACTATAACTACTTTCTTTGAAAAAAAAAAAAAAAAAGATGCCGAAAGGCCAAAATACTGTAACCCTGCTAACACACTGTAAATCGCCATCTACTCATTAGTAACCACCAGAATAACTACAGTAATACCCTTGATATTTACCTGAAAATCAGAATTCTCCACAAATTTCACATTGCTTATCTCACGTTAATTACAGTAATTAACACATTATTACAGTCGTACCTATCATGTCACTCATACTTAGCTATGCTTAATGCAAAAAAGTACTGTACCAAGAATTACACTTCTCTAACCTCACACGAATTACAGTAACAACTACCTACCCATTCAATGCTTACCCATTCTAAATCAGTACTGTTAACCTTCAAATGCATAAATTTATTTTTCCTGCAAATAACTGTAAAACACAAGTTCAAAAATATTCTATATTCTACGAAAAAAACAAAAGAAACAGAGGGCTTAGAAGTAGACTGAAAGCTGGCGAAACAAGTCAGAAGAAGCGACGTAATTACAGAATCCGCCAAACCATAGGGACAGACTCGATACCGGCGGGAATAGGACCCATCTTCGTTGTGCGTCAATACCTCTGCAATCACAAAAGATTCGTGATAGTCATCCCAACAGAAGACTGCCTCCAAAAAGCAAATCACCTCATCCGCCGACGAGATGCCCCCAAGAATGGTAAATCCAGTGGCCCGGAACGAACTGCGAATATCGACCTCTTGCTGATTACGCGGGATCTCGAACTCGAAAAATTTGCGCAAAAGTTCTCTTTGCATAATGGTTTCAAAATTTCAACAAATTTTTAAACTTCAAAATTTGATGAATCGACAGATTTTGATCACTTTAAATACAGTCGGCGTTGCTAGGCGGACTGATGAGAGCGGCCACCGAGCAATGGAACAATGGAAACACCTGGAAACAGAACGGAAGAAGTCTTGACGATAAATGGAGAAGTCAACACCGGAACGGAACCAAAGCGGATGTCACCACCTGGAAACGGAGCAACGACGAACAATGGGAAACGGAAATCTGCGCGGCGACGACGAACAATGGAAAAAGGAAATCGACGCAACGACGATGGACAATTGAAGCGGAAATCGGAAATCGACGATAGCAACCAACTGCGGAAAAAGCGCGGCGATCAACAATCAACGAAGGAAGGGAAATCAAGAACAATTCAACAGGAAATCACGAATGAAAAGAAGAACTACAGTCTGCCATGGAAACAAAGTCAATACAAGTATATATATATAACGGTTGAAGCCACGATACTGCTCAGAAGAAGAAATCAGTTCAAAGTTTTTCAGAAATAACAAAAAGATGAACAAGAGAAAGATTTACCCGAAAAACAGCCACTGGAACTCCCAAGTCACCAGTTCCAGAACTGATAAGGTATGGGGAAATTCCCCCAACGAACACTCTTGGAAATCAGAGAGTTGGGAAAAATGGGGAGATAGTGAGTGGAAGAAAGAAGATCAATTGGAACCAAAAGACACTCAACGATTTAAAAACATGCAATGGCAAATATTGCATGAAGAAGGCGATGCAATCGAAAGCGGCACAGTATTAGCGAAGGCAAATGCTGGAAAACAACTGGAAGCACAACTCATCGCCACTTCTAGAACAAGAATCGAACAGCTAATTATTACATCGGACAATATCACGTACAAACACGACGAGAAAGATTATGTTATAATGGATTTGAAGAAGCGAATCGAGGAACTCACATCACAATTAGAGAATCAGCATATCGGCACACCTTGTGTCAGCTCGATTAACACACCAGTACAAGCACAACCAATACAACCACAACCACGAAGCTACAACATCTAACGAGTCACAGCAAAAAGAAAACATCAAAAGAAAAAAGAAAATAAAAAAAGTATAAAATTCATGAAAAAATCTAAGATAAAAATCTTTATAATCAATCAATGTAAAAATCAAAATCTACAAAAAACCGAAAAAACTACAAAAAAAAAAAAAAATTTTATTCTACTATCGCTAAAAATTCTATGTACTGAAATGAAACTTGAAAACTGCGTGTACATATATTTACTCAGTCACTTATTACGCTACTAAAATGATGCAACAGCAGAAGCGAAGAAATGTATTGAAGAAATGAAGCAAAGAAGTAATGTTAAATACCACCCCTTCCTTCAGTTAAATTATGCTCTCAAAATTAGACAGGAGGGGAGGGATACAGTAGTGTCCCAACTCTGATCTATTCTAGACTGTAACCAAGACAACATCTTACTGAATAACACATAGCAACCACCACTCTATATAAGACTCTGCCAACCATCTAACGCTGTCAGTCAGTTATACAGTCATTCAATTACTATATACAAACTGTCCACTTACACACAAGCAAATACAACAATAGAACCGGAAACAGTCAGTTGATCCCTTTTTACAGACCCAAGCAGCTCAGGCATCATCCAGACAGAACATTAAGAGAAGGACACTATCTATGAAAAGAAGGAAATTTACCGCATGAGTTCGTCTCAATCTCTCCGCCATGAGTTCGAGCGACATGGAGTCGAATCCTCTATTGGAGCAGTCGACCACTCGATCGACAGGGTCAAAGTCGCAAATCGGCTCATTTTCTGGTCGTGGAGGCTCAGTTGGTGGTTCAGTTGGTGGCTCGGTTGGTGGGCTTGTTGGCTCTTCGGGCTCTCCATAGATCTCGGACAAATCGAGTCGATTCATGAGGTTATTGCAGTTGACCATTTTTCTGGTCTTGCCATCGAGTGGGAAGCCGTCGGCGATGAATGGCATGTCGGGAACTCTGTTCATCGTATCGCCGAGGGTGAGACACATGGTCGTGGCAAGGTCGATTTTTTTGACCTGGTCGAATTTGGCCTCGTCGTTCCAGAATTCTCGGTTTTCGTAGAACCATCGATCTAGAAAACAACCTTTTTCATCGCATGAAAGTTATTTTCTACCTTGAGTCTTGAGGGTTTTGAACTGCTTGCCAATGATGCACGCTCCAGTTGGTCCAATAGCAGCTCCATCGAGATGCTTTTCCATGAGGATACCGACGTAGAGATCGACTTCCCAATCTCGGTTTCGGTACTGGTCACGAACCAGGGCGTTCCACTCGGGTCTCATTCCCCTCCAGCCGCGGTACAAATCAGCGCATTCAGGATCTTCTTTGAACTCTAGAATTTAATTGATAAAAATTCAAAGGATAAAGAGCGTTCTTACTTTTCAGGTACTTTTTGTGCGATTCCAATCCGTGATCTCGTCCTCTCGCAATATTAATCGCAAAAAGATCAATACCAAAGTCGACTCCATGTGGCTTGAAAAGATTGTGAAGAACCGAATCACCAAAGGCAGGTCCAGTCGATAGGCCCTGAAGCGTAGCAGCACCTCGGCAAATGGCAGCTGGACCTTGCTGGATGAGCACGTGGGGGTCGAAGAAGTTGTCCCGGATGTCGTCGGTGCTTTGGACTCGGTACTGGCCGTCTTTTGTAACGATGGTTTCTGGCTGCTGGGAGTGGCCGTATCTAGAAACGAAGAGAATGAAAGGGGGAAGAAAAGGCTCTAGTCACCGGAAAGCAGCAGTAGCGAATTCGTTGAAAATGACCGGCCCGGTTCGATCGTGATCTTGGTTGATTGGTCTGTTTGATGGTCTGAGCAGGGTTCGAAATCGGGCCGAAAAGTCGCTAGGCTAGGCTAGGCTAGGCAGAGCGAATTTAAAAAAAAGCTAGGCGAAAAAAGCTAGGCGAAATTTTTGTCACAGACTCTAGGCTAGGCTAGGCTAGGCGAATTCGCCTTAGGCGAATCTAGGCGAAAAAAGCGAAAACGCGATTCATATCAATTTTTTTAGGCGATTAGGCGAAAATTAGGCGAAAAGCGAAAATTAGGCGAAATTTTCGCCAGGATCTGCCTAGATTTCGCCTAGATCTGCCTAGATTTCGCCTAAATTCGCCTAATTTCTTCGCCTAGGCGAAATTCAAGGCGAATTTTCATTTTCGCCTTGTCGCCTAGCTTCGCCTAAGGCACCAGTATGAGACTAGGCTAGGCTAGGCTAGGCGAAATTTCAAGAGTCCTCGCCTAGCTAGGCAGCTAGGCGAATTCGCCTAGCCTAGCCTAGCCTAGCTTTTTAGGCGAATTCGCCTAGGCGATTTCGAACCCTGGGTCTGAGGGAACCATTGTCGAATTTGTCGAGGGAATTTCCAAAGAGCGCAGGGACCATTTCTTCGTAGACCATTTTTTGCATTATTGCAATGTTGAATTTTCGGGCTTCGTTGAAGACGAAGTCGGAATCGGACTGAAGGGATGGATCGGCATCGATGATTTCTTGGGCGAGGATGTTGTGGAGTCTTTTCTTTGGCTCAGAAATTTCGCTCTTTCGGACTTTTCCGTAATTTTTCTGGACCGTTCCTGTGGTACATGATATGCCAACTTCCAAGAATCGGGTTTTCAAGGACTCGATTATCGCCGGAAAACAGGGGATCATATCCCCGCTCGTTCAGGCCACTTGGAAGTCGGAACTTATCAGTGATAGGTTTGAAAGAGCCATCTTTCGCATTGATCTGCGCGATCGATGGGATGTAAATTCCATGAGTGTGGTCTTGAGTTTCCAGAAATGGTGATCCTGGAAGGCGGAGAGATCGAGCGTGAATTTCGGAGAAGCCGTAAATGTTTCCGGCTTGAATGGTTCCGGTTAGCTGGTTGATTTGCTCGGGGACCAGTTGTCCGTCTTTTTTAAGGCTTTTGATTTGTCGAGAAAGGATTAAGGGTCTCTCTCAGAGTTTTTTGAATAAAAAGCCCTTTCCTTGATCGCTAAGAGTGACAGCAGATCTAGTCACAAACATACAGGAGACGCCGGAAAAGACCGGATCAGAACCAGTCGACCACTTGAGACAATCGCTACTGTTCAGAGTACACCGACATCTTGTATCTTTGCTTCGATCAGGAGTTTGAAGAAGCGTGTGAGTGATGAACTGACCAGCGGTATTGAGAAAATGCGTCGTTTTGTCATTCGGACTTTGTGGGCACTTGCTTCGGAGATAGAGGGAAAGACCTCGCGGATTTGGAAGAGGTCTCTTGTCCGTGCCGCATTTTGGCGCTCCAGAGGCATCGCAGTAGGAAGCGGGGAGGAGTCGACCGTAGCCTTGGAGTGGCTGACCAGCGCCAGTTGGGTGGTTGCACTTTCCGTCGAAATCGGGGTATGGATTGTCTTTGCCAGGGATCAACATGAGCTTTCATGATAATTTTTGACCAATAAGGGACTTCTTTTGCCCTTTTTTTACAGATTGATAGAGTCGCTTACAGTCTGATTAGGCTAATTAATTTCTTATCAGCAAAAATACTCGACCCATGTCCTGACGCGCAGACAACTCGCTCGTTACTCGTTGAGTAGGGATCGGTTATGTTCTTCGCGATAGCAGCAATATCCGCAGCCGAAACAGAGCCACGCTCCCCTTCTAAGGAGCGCAACGTGTCCAGCGAAAACGACTCGACTTGGCGCAAACTCTTCGCGTACTGGTCCGTCAGGGGGGCAGTTCGGATCATGGAATGGGCATAGATGACGGTATTGAGGTCATCATCGGTCCGAGGTCGGTTACCTGAACATAGAACATTGGAATTGATTTATTTATAAATTATTATAATAAAAATATTTATAAATTAATAATTAATTAATTATTTAAATAATTTATCAAATAATTAAAATTTATAATATATAAAATTTATAAATTAATTATAAAATTAAAATAATTCCATTTTTATAAAATAAATTTATTAATTTTTGGAATAAATTGCATATTTTTTAAGGACAAAAAATATTTTCTTACCTAGGGCGGAAGCCAACAACGAAAAACTCAGTTTCATTTTCTCCTTTTTTTTCTTCGACTTTCTTTCTCTGTATTAGAAAAAAATTGAAAGTCGCACTGTCTCAAGAATAGGCCCCGTTGATACTGACTTTCTCAGAAGGGAGATAAGAGTGCCCCGGGCGAAGCTAGTTTCATTTTTGCAGATGATCTCAATTTCATTATTAAACGCCAACCTTTTAAAATTGTAAAATATTTTGATTTTTGAAGGCTTTTTATTTTTCAAGAGAGTTTTTCATGTTTTCAGTCCATTTGCCGGATTTTCTGAAGTTTGTTCAAAACAATCGATAATTTTTCGGAAGAAGAAAAATCTGACTCTTCCACTTCCTCATCTTCTTCATCTTCTTGACCCCTCCCAGAAAAACGTTCTTCTTCTTCTTCGTCGTCAAAGAGCCTTGGTAAATAAAAGCTTGGAAAAGCTGGAAAGCTGGGCAAGATCGCTCGGTTCAACTGTCCACAAGATCTGTTTATGTATCCCTGTTTGCAAAAGCATCTCGTTTCTCCAATCATAAGGCTTTTTGTTATTCTTCGGGACATAAAATGAGCTCCAGCGAGACAGTCCTCGCAGTCATTATCAGTGCACTAGAAATTTATAATGAAAATTTTTGTCCTCTCGAACTACCTTTTTGCGGCAATAATGAACCATTTTTCCCGAAAATTTTGACCTTTTTGCGACGCATTCAAGGTTTTCTCCCGTCGATTCACATGCTTTTATCATTTCTGGGTCCGTGCATTCTCTTGCTATTACTGTAACTGTCATCAAAATTGGAACAAAATACTTCAAAATGATCATTTTTCTTTATTGTCTGTTTCTTCCTTTTTAGCCCTCGGAAAATCAGGGAAGTTGGTTTATTTATTTTTCAAAGTCAAGTCTGGAGGTCAAGCCATCTTCTCAATCAGATCACTTCTATGATAACAAGTTGTTTTTGAGCTGAATTTTGCGATTAAAAGAAAATTTTGATTGTGAAATTTTAAGGGTATCACCAAGATGACCAACTTTTGCTAAAAATCGAATAATAGCAAATCAGGAAAGCACAAAAAAGGCCAAAATCTATGTTGACACCCTTAATTCAAAACGACTAAAAATGACAATTTTTTAAAAACAAATTTATTGTTCGATCAACACTTCCAGCTTTGGCAAAAGATTTTCAAGTTCAGAACGTGGCTCGGTAAAAGTTTCATTCATTTCTTCGAAATCTTGATCTTCCGGCAGATTGTCGAAAAATTCGTCCCAGAACTCAGGCGACTCGAAAAAGCCATCAGAGCTATTCCTCGCTGCTGGCAGTGATCTATCCAAACTTTCGCACCTTTTTTCAATGTTCCCAATTCCACAACCGCATTTTAAGTCGCCAATTTGAAAGTCGTATCTTCCAATTTCTGAATCAATTTTTAACATTTTTCTTACATTTTTTTATACTTATAAAAACGAATTCTGATCCTGAGCCACATGTTTTGTGCTTTCTTCTGTTATACTAAATTAATCAAAATCTAGGTCTTTTTCAATAAATAAATACCTTATTGTAGCAAATATACTTGTACCCCTTCGAATATCTTTTCGTTGATCTTTTGCATTTTCTGACATTTTCGAATGACTTGCATTTTCGTCTCATTTTTCTGTTGCATTTTCTCGAGAAAACAAGTGAAACAAAGATTATGAAAATTCTTAGATCCATTTTCTGACCTTGATAAGAAGAATTTCAGAACGGAAACCCGCGGGAGGAGTTTATTTATTCATCAGATTCTCAGTTCCTATTTGGGGAGATTACAGTGAAACCCCAACTTAAGGCCACTTTTTGGATGACAGCTAATTTGAAAAGTGGCCTTAAGGGATCACCCCCCGATTTTTCAAACCTTTGGCACCGGTCATTATCGCCTATGATTAGATTCCTCGTTTTCTGAGGATCATTTTGATATATGATAGTACCCCTTTACATAAATGCATCCCCGAAATTTTAGTTCCCAAAGTTCGGAAAAATGCATGTTAATTGTACTTAGCGTGAAAATCGCAATTTTTTTCGATTTTTCATTGTCATCGAAATAACACAAACAAGGGCTCTTTCGAAAGCTTAGAATGTGAAGATTACGAATATAATAACCGCACTAGAATTTTCGGCCAATTGTTGGCGCTAGAGAGCATTCTAACACCCAAATAACGCCAAAAATGGTTTCAAAAAGTTTTACAACTAGAATTTTTTTATTCACTAATCCGATCATGCTGATTCTACCAAAAAATAAAGATTAGCGTCTATACTTTTAGATAAACCAAAAAAATTTTGAATCACAGAGCCCAAAAAAAAGTAGATACGATTTGAAAATGACCTAAAATGGCCATTTTTCAAGATGTTAATCACTTTGACGGCCTGTAATGCATAAGCGAATGTTATGCTAGCAAGCTGATTCTACCAGAATTTGCTCCTTTCGAAGCGGGCTTTCTAATGCGCCCAAAACCAGCTTCCTACGTAAGCTCAAAAAAAAAGTAGATAGAGGTCAAAGTTGGCGAAATTGGGGGGGGGGATCCCTTAAGTTGGGTGATTCTCCGACTTAGTTGGATGACGCTAAAATTTTTCTATTTCTGGAGTAAGGGACTGAATCATGGGAATCAAAAATGAAAGGTGGCCTCCAATTTTTCGGATGACAGATTTCGGGGATTTTTCAGAAAAGTGGCCTTAAGTTGCTCGGCCTTAAGTTGGGGTTTCAGTGTAATTGAGCCTTGGAACAAGGAGAAACCAGAAATGAAATATTTTGACAAAAAATTTCGAGAAAAATCATTCTATAAAAAAAGTTTCAATAAAAAAGACTTAAAAATTAATAAAAAAAAGAATCTTTCTCCGTGCTCTGAGAAAACATCATCTGTCGATTTCCATCTCATTTTCGCGGTCATTTAATCAATCAAAAATGAGAGGCTTCGTTTTTCTGCTGATTTCTAAAGCATTTTCGTTGCGGTTTTCGCTGCATGAAGAGCTGATTGCTTCTTCGACTCCGGTTGGAGACGAAACGATCGAGTGCTACACTTGTGAGTTTGTCTACAATGCGACAGACGGAACTCCTTTCATTGGCGACCAGCGATGCAGAGATAATATCAAAGACCTCCCCAACAATTCTCGTTAGAAATCCCATCCCCCTCCCATTTCTTCATCCCTTTTTTTCAGAGACCTTTCCGGCCAAAATCCAAACAAATGATGGATTCACCGCGAATGTCGTCTGCGCCACCTTCAACCTGACTTTCCACCAAAGCGTCGAAATCCGAGACAACAACTCCGATCTCAAAGAAGTCCAGTATCTTGGGATTTTCGAACGAACCACATTCTTGCAATACGTCGGCAGCACATTGGAAGGATATGAAGGGACACTGAAGATGTACGAGCACGAGTACGGGTGTGGAAGAAATACAAGCACTTGTTCGGGAAGTTATGATCCCTTCCCTCGACCGGAATTCAAAGAAAGGAGAGAGCCATGTGGAAATTGCGCCTACGAAAACGTCCTCCGAAAATCTGACGGAAATCGAATTACTGTAAACGGCAATGTCGACTGCTCCGTCAAGCCAACTCCACCCGATCAACCGGTTTGTCTCCCAATCTCTCCTTTTTCTTTCTCTTTCTAGAGCTGCGATGGCGAACAAAAAGATCAGTCCGGAATTTGCGTGATTGTTTCCCTTGGAGTCGGGGACGAACCCGTGGCGAATCCTGACCAGCATCTGCTCGCGAGAATTTGCGATGCTAAGGCGAACTTTTTAGACTGGGGCTTTACCAACGCTTATATTGATACCGAAAATGGCATGTCTGTCTGTGCAACTTCGAAATGCAATAAGTAAAATCTTCTCGAATCGCGTTCTCTTCGTTTTTATGACAAATATAAAGAATCGAAAAAGACCATTAATGATAGTCCATCATTATAAACTATCCTCAGCGATGAAAAAAAAGCATGACGAGCAGTGAGTAATAAAACGCGCTCGACCTATTCAGACTGACTCTGAATGATAGTAATCAATAGTTATAAAAGACGCGCGCACAATTTGCCCCCAGCCAGTCTCATTTGTCGTTAAAACTTTTCGAGAGGAAAAATTCAGGAAAATCACTTCGAGAAAATGAGCGCGCCTTATCCCACTCAGAATAACACAGGTCAGTTAAGAACTTATGTTGGTCTTTTAACTCCTTTAGGGAGAAATTCATATGGAGTAAATTCATCAGATCTTCCTCCTATGGCCGGGGGAGGCTTCAATCCAAGTGCTCCTCCTCCTCCCCAAAATCCTCATTTTCAACAAAACCCTGGATATCCTTCCTACCCCCCACAGGGACCGCCCCAGAACTCGGGCTACCCTTCGTACCCCCCTCAAAATCAAGGGCACAATCCTTATCCCTCAGCTCAACCACAAAATTATGGCCATCAGGAACGATTGAAAACTAAAAGAAACTACAAACAAAACAATCATTTTTCAATCGAAATCAGCCAAATCATTACCACCAAAATGAAAATCCTCATTTCCAGGGGCATCAGCATCACCAGGGTTACAACCAAGGGTATCCACAAGCACAAGAGCACAATGACACGAAGAAAAAGAAGAAAAACAAAGGCCTCTTGGGACAAGTTGAAGGTCTTGTTTCAGACGTCATCGGAGGAGGATCAAAGTCACATGGTTCCTACGGAGGACAGGGGCAATATTCTGGACAGGTAATTTAGAAATTCTTCAGATAGAAACGGGTTAATTTTATTCAGCAACATGGCCAGCAATATGGTCACGTGTCTCAAGGACATCCACAGCAGCAAAAACAAAAGGTAAAAATAAAGTGGTGAAAATTTGTTTCAAAATATTCTAGGGCTCAATTCTCGACTCTGGAAAAGAAATGGCGATGTGGGCGCTTGAAGCAAAAATGATGCACGGAGGCATGGGAAAGAAGATGAAATATGACATGAAGAAAAACATGTTCAATGCTGTCACAAAAGGATTCAAATAAAATCGATTCTTTGAAGCTAAAAACTCTTTTTTATAGCAGTCTTTCTTAAATAAAATGAATTATGAATTTCTTGGTAGAAAATAATTCTAGCATTTTTCCTTATAGTTCGAGTTTGTCGACATTTCATCATGATTGATGTGAACCCTAACGATCAGGCATCGAATATTCTAACCTTGCGTCAACTCGACTCGGGCAAACACGTGACTGGCTCGTTCAAAGTAGCAGCGCCCCGAGCTGCTTGGTCAATAAAGTTGCTAAGGGCCCATTGGATCGACCAAAGCCACGTCAGGCTCATTTGAACGGAGAAAACGAAAGAAAAAGGGGCGAGGAAAGAAAGACCGAGAATAATCGATAAGAATCTAACGACTTGCAACTGTCTTTTTTTCGTGAATACAAGAGAGTTTTTCTGGGCTAAGAAAGATTTGAAAATAAAAAGGTAAGTTCATTTTTTGAAAAAAATCTTCAAAAATCGTTAAAAAAATCAATAAATAATGTCCTTTAAATTTATTTCTTCTATAATTATCTGAACTATTGTTGAGAAAATTTTCATTGAATGGGTCGTTGTTGTCTTCAATCAACCTCATTGAATCCTTTCAGGCGAAGATGGATATGTGCGAGTGTATCTGCACCTTCCAGCACGCGATGCGTCGCTTGGTAGAGGTCCTTAATCGCGCACAGAACTACTGCTCTGACGATGGAGCTGGCGACGGTCACCAGGTAAGAAAATCCTCCTCCTTTCAAACGCCTCATTTTCCCTCTAGAATCCAGCACAGGCAGCCAACACATTTCTCATGATGTTCCTGTTCATGCTCTTCGCCGCAGTAATGTTCCGACTGAGGCCGAATTCAAACCGCGACCGGGATCAAGCGCAGAAACCGACTGGCGGTCCCCCTGGCGGCTCAAACGGCCCTGGTCCCGGAGGACTTTCCACCTGAATTCCCAAATCTTCGAAATTGTCACCCATTCTTCTTCGCTCTCTCCTTCTCTAACCGGATTTATTCTGATCCTATCCTTTCTGTTCTGATAAAGTTGGTTAAATATTTTGTTTAACATGTGATTCGAATAAACAAACAAAAATCGAATTTGGAAACATAAAGATTCTTCCAAAAACGCGTAAAATTCCCCTTATTTAACAGAACATCGTGAGAACTCATGATTCAAAAAAAAATCGTGAAAATTCATAATACAAAAAATATTCGTGAAACCCATGTTTCAAAAAATCGTGAAAACTCATGACTCAAAAAATATCATGAAAACTCATGATTCAAAAAAATCGTGAAAACCCATGATTAAAAATATCGTGAAAACTTATGATTCAAAAAAAATCATGAAAACTCATGATTCAAAAAAAATCGTGAAAACTCATGATTCAAAAAAAAAAAAATCGTGAAATCTCATGATTCAAAAAATATCGTGAAAACTCATGATTGAAAATATCGAGGAAACTCATGATTGAAAATATCGTGAAAACTCATGATTCAAGAATCTTGAATTTCAGAAATTTTAATCTCTGAGAAAGTCTGAAAGAAATTTTCTTTAGAAAAGAATCGCATTTGAGTCGACATCGTGCATTTTGATCGCAGTCAAATTTTTGAGAAGAGGAGCTGAGTATCTCATTCCATCAAACATGTTCTATATCTAGATAGCGTATGACAAAATAGAATGAGACTCACCTGGATGATGTGTTTTTGCATCTTCTTCTCCTCGCTGTCTTCATAAAACAAATCTTGTTTAATGAGCTTACCAATTATTTTCATATTATTCGCTTGATCTGTTATTGTTTTCGCGTAATCAAGAAGAAAACCCATCAAGTCGTGAACTTTTGGTCGAGCCGGAAAACGATCATCGGATTCATTGATTTTCGGACGACAGTTCGGATCCTGAGCTTGTCTTGCCGAAGCGGTTGTGTTGATGACATTCAGTTGCATGATTCTCGCTGAAAATATACTCCTCTCTTGTCATGTTTTTTGGTTGTTAGAACCTGTAGTTAGTTTTTCCCGCGGATTTGGGTAAAAAAAGCTCATTTTTTCCCTTTTGAGACGGGCGCGATGGACTCTCGAACTTATTTCAAAAAGGGAAAGAACAAGCTTAAAATTCTTGATTCATGACCGCGCCTATGAATGAGCAGCGCTCTTAAAAACGTTTCTATTGGTTATCATCCGTTTTCCCTTTTCATTATAGGCTATAATTTATAGCGCCATAAAGACACTCAAGATAGCAATAAAATATATTTGATAAATTCTCTTGTTTCCCAGAGACCATTCATTTTCCTACTATTTCAAAGATGAATGTGTTTCTTCAGAAAGGGTGCGCCTTACCCTAACCTGGAAAGGGTTAGGGTTACGCCTCTCTCAACCCCTGGGCTCGGCAACCAGTGTATTAAACCTGAGTCAAGCTCTGTTAGCCTGAGGCAGGTTATCATATTTTAGGTTGACAAGCCAAGCCGGTCTTTTGGTCTTAAAAACGGTACATAAGTTATGTAACATAACAGTAGATCACTAGAATATCTTGGAAGGTGTCTGGAACCGACAAAAAATTTCGACAAATTTCGCGTGGAAGTTTTCAACCAATCAGAAGCTTGGATTTGGCAAACCGGCCAATCAGCCGCCCACGCAAAATTTGTCAAAATTTTTTTGTCGGTTCCAGACTCCATGCCGAATATCTACACCGTCTCTTTACTGCGCCATACAGTCACCCTCGAAAACCAACGTCAAACTTTCCCGAAGCGGTGGAAGCTATAATCTGAGTTTCTCGTCCCGCGGTTGTGTCAGACATGGCGCTGGGGATGACGCGGAGCTGTCAGTGAGGATCATTCGAAGTTGTTTTTCAAGCACTCAAATCAAGGCGATTAGAGTACTTCCACCACCGAGCACCGGCACCTGTATTTTACTCTCCAAGGATAAGCGCGCGAATTTTAAGTTGATAAACGGCTTTCAAAATAAATTTTTAAAAAGACCAATTTCATGAAATCACCGCATTTATCCACTCATATTTTTCACTCATAAAAAAAAACGAAAATCATAAAAAAAAAACAATTTTTTTAGCTTTTTTTTTATTCAGAAATCCGTAACAAGCATTGGATGCTCATCGTTTTCGTTGATTTCACCAAGTTTGTTCCCAGTCAGCTGATTGAAATAATTCAGCACTTCTTGTTCTTGCATCTAAAAAACGGCTTAAAAATTTTTAAAAATTTCTTGATTTACCCTTTGAAACATCGATCCAAAACCCAAGGAGTAAACAGAAAATGCGCAAATTGATAGGTAAAAAAATTTCATTGTTGATTTTTTATTTTAACTTTTTGTTTTTGGTCGACTCTTTTTATACTCGAGGATTATTTACTTTCGTGCGTTTTTCGATGATTGGAATTAAAAATAAAGCAAGTCAGAAGAGGCCAAGAACAAGCTCATGAATAATTTGTTTGTTGATCAGGAAAATAAACTTGCTGTTTGTCTTTTTTTGCGGAGTTCGAATTGTTACATGAAAAATGTCTTGTCCTTGAATGAGGCTTCTTTTGAGCGTTCTTTTATTAAGGGTGGAGAGTCTGAATCAAGGTTAAAAGAGTCAAGTAAAATTTTCTTATGATTTATTAAAAATCTCAAGATATTATTTCATTGTCGTCATTTTCGTAAACTTCTCCAGTCTGCTGATTCTCCATCATCATTATGTTGGAGATTATTTAAATAATCCAGCATGTCCTGGTCTCCCATCTAAGAATGGATTCAAAAGCAATCATGATGGTTAATTTTACCTCTTGAAACATCGTTCCGAAACCCAAGGAGTCGACGAAACTAGCGAAAAATGATAAAAGAAAAAAATTCATATCTTTTTTTTATGTCAAGTTTCTTACTGTCACCCTGATTCGAGCTCTCTTTATACTCCAGTTCTTTCATCTACTAGTGCTTTTAATTAAAGATAAATGATTTTGTGGGGGGCCAAGAACAAGTTTATTAATAATTCGCTTGTTGAACAGGAAATCCAGAAGTGTTTTCCTTTTCATTTCAGTGTTCGAGTTGTTACTTGAAAGTGGCCTTGATTGCTGCTGGCTTTCCAGTGCGGCAGATTCTCAAGCATTTCTTGTATTTCATGAAGATTCGATTCTTGCATCTAAATAAAGAAAATCAAAAAAAAAACGAAAAGCTAAATTTGCAAATAACTCCGTATTTCGACGATTGAAATTAGTAATTTTCGGAAAAACTTTTTTTCAAAATTTTTTTCAAAATTTTTGACCAATCAAAGGTCCGGAATCCAGGATACCGGCCGGGAGGTAGCCAATCAGCAGCGAATTGCAGCTTTATTATTGTTTCGCGACAAAAAATTATCGGTCAAGATTTGTCGATTCGTGCTCCCTCCCCTTATTTTACCGATAATTACCGTTTCAATATAAAAATGACTTACTCTTTGAAACATTCGTCCAGTAGGAAACATCATTCCATCTCCAAAACTCTGAAAAAGTACTGCTATCACCCTCAGCTTCATTCTCTCTTAGAATTTCCCAGAAAGTGCACTGAAGCTCTTATATACAGGTATATTGAAGCGTACATTTTAATGAATGATTTGGACCACTGTCAATATGTCCTGACTGTAAACTGTCGCATATTTGAATACATGTACCCGGAATGGGAATAATAAGGCAATATGGAATGCGAAAGAAACTCTTTGCCCACAATCTAAAAAAAATGTCTTTTTCTGTGAGAATTCACCAAATGTCACTTTTCTATCGATGAGTATCTATGGGCATCTATCGAAATCCCGGAAACGAGAAGCAGGATAGAAAATGTGCATAATCCGAGAGCCAAAAACATGCTTTTGAGGAGCGATAACTTAGAACCGTTCACTTATCCGACTATCAAAAATACCTTTTTTGACTACACTTCTAGTTTTTCAAATTATTTTTTTCCAAAAATCAAAATTCCGATTTTTCTTATCATTTTTTTCGATTCAATTTTTACTATTTGTACAAGTCGTCAACTACCATTTTCTCCGATTCGCGAAACCGCAAGTAGTAAAACATATCGTATAAAAACCACCTTCTGGTTGAAACAGCGATTTTGATTTTTTGAGCTTCTTTCGATTTTAGAACATGTTTTGACAACACCATGACGATAAATTGAACAAACCTGGGGAGAGTCGAGATAATGACGCAACCATCGCATTTGTCTTTTATCTCATTTTTTCTTTGAAAAGAAAAAAACTGTAAAAAGAAAACGGTTGGTTCTTAGGCAAGCACAAAATACGGATTTCCTTATCGTTTGATCATATCTGCTTTTTGACGTAATACTGGTGGCCTTTCACAAACGTGTAATCGAAATTCCTGGTTACGGCTTGAATCGTGCGGGCTTGTTAATTAAACACATTAATTTTTATGTAAAATTTTGCGGTTACATCAAACCGCCTTATTTCCTTGTCTTACATCACAAGAGAGAATTTTTAATTCAAATTTTCTTTTTGGATCCTCTTATTTGAGAAAATACAATATAATGAAACAAACTTGTTCATCACCATTTTTACCTCACAATGAAGACGGGTTTGAAATTCATTCTTATTTCAATTTTCTTGACATTCGGCAATATCGGGCAACATTTAGCAACATTTGGCGACATTATGCGACATTCGGCGACATACGGTGATATTAAGCGACATTTGGCAACTTATGGCGACATTAAGCGACATTTGGCGACATTCGGCGATATTCAGCGACATTCGGCAACATTTGGCGACATCAGCGACATTTGGCGTTATTCGGCGATATTTAGCGACATTCGGCGACATTTTTCGATTTTTTCAGGGCGTCCCTAATTTTGGGCTTTCAAAACTAAGCCTGGATTATTTGATCATTTGCATAAAGCAATTTCAATATTTTTAGGAATGCTTTGATAGTTTGTCGCTGGTTGTTTAGTTATTTTGAGAGAGAAGTCAAAACTCAAAGAGGTGTTGAAAACATTCGAAGTTGATCCGGCATGAGCGCACTTTCAGGCTCTCGAGATAAGAAGCAGGAAGCAGAAGGGAGAAACACTTTTCTTGAGCGTTTTCGAACGTGATTTTAAAGCGGAAATTCGCTCTATAAGCTTACGAATCCCTCGCTGCTTCGCTCGTTATCAATTCCCCAGCGGAAGAATCAATGCATCTCAGCATCTGTCGAAGGGTGATAAGGAAACGCCCAGCGCTATATCCAGCTCCTAAATCTGCCCGCTGCGGCTCACATAATCAGATCAGCAAAACCGAAAAGAAAACTCGCGCACGTGATCCAAGAAAACGCTTCTAGAGAAATCAAATGACCGCGAAATCCCCAAAATTCCTTTTTCAAAAGTCAAATGAAAAAAATACCAAAAAATATCGCAAAAATAAAAGTCTTAATTTCTAAGAACGATTTTCTCGGGCCTTGTCAACGACCATCTCGAACATTTGATGTTCATCAATGTTTACAATTAATTTCACAAAAAGCGAACCACAAAAAAGTAGAAGAACGGTCTTTAGACCAAAAATACACGGATCAATTCATCGATCAACGAACTCAAATTCGAAGGCAGCAATTATTGAAAGCTTGTCAAACTCTGAAAAAAGTTGAGGGCAATTTTGATGGAGCAACGGAAACAAGAAATTTAATTGCTTCCAAAGAAGATTGACTGATGCGAAATCAGAGCGTTTTCAATGTGAAAGAAACCATAAATAAATATATATTTTTTCCAGGATTTTTCGGAAGGTGAGTTTTTAAGGGTGTCAACGGCGTATAAGCCCATCAAAACCCCGTCAGATCAAAAATTGGTCTTTTTAGCCCAGCATGCTGTTGACACCCTTAAGATGCTTCCCCTGAAAAATCCAAAGGGTTAATAATTTTAAAGCGTTGTATCTTCGTATTCGTGGTAATGACCTAAAAACGTCAAAAACAAATCCAGCAAAACCTGATTTCTTGGAGCTGGATCCGATTTTCCGCTTCTCGGATTTTGATTTTTACGCATTCGGTGATATAAACGTGGGTCGAAATCGAAGCCATTTTTGTTAATCCAGGCTGTGTCACTCGTTCAGAATTAGGCGCACTGGTAATCCATGGAATAGAAGGGATTTTCTAAATACAAATCGTGGTTGATTCAACTCGAGTGCAGTTTGGACTTCTTGCGTGAAATAATGACACGCTCCACACGTGACGACACCTGAGCCTCGTTCTAGATAACTTTTGTGCAAAAAAGTTAAAGGTGAATCTTTTTGATCAAAATCGCCTTCACATTCAATATTTTTATTGGTTCAATTTTCAGTTTTTTTTTTCAAAAAAAACTACAACATTGATTTTTGAAAATTAATTTTATCATTGTGAGAGCCTTAATCGGGGATGGTGACTTGAACCGACAAAAAAATTTCGAGAAATTTTGCGTGAGCGGCTGCTCGGCTGCTGATTGGCCGAATCGCGGAATCCAGGCTTCTGATTGGTCGATGATTTCCACCCAAAATTTGACGAAATTATTTTGTCGGTTCAAGACTCTTTCCCCTTAATAGATTTAGAAATAATTATTAATAAGAAAATGATTACGATTTTCTTATGTAAGAATGTTTCCCTTATTTTTTCTCACAACATGTTATCAGCCGCTACTCACTTTGTAATTGAAGAGTGATAAGAAGAATGACTGAAGCTCTGTAGTTATTCTTATCTCTGAATCGAATTTCTCCAGTTTCGCGAAACGATACGTAAAGTACTTTTAATTTCGTTCACATGGAGGGGTAATCACTGCTTCTACAGGAAATAGTGGAGACGATTGTTGCCGGAAGAGGTTGACTTCTCACAAGAATAGCCAACGCATTACGCAAAAATTGCGGCAAGTTGAGACAGATCGAAGCTGGCGAATTTTTAAGCTGCTTAGCTGAACCCTCGCACAAATAAAGATGAATAAGGGGACGACCTTTCTACACGTATTTTTCTGAAATCTGCTTTTTGGACTCGAAATAAAAGAAGGCTTAGGGTAGTAACAGGCTTATAAATGTTTTTAGAGAAACCATAATCTTCCTTTATAATAACCTTTTTTATAATTTTTTTTTTAAATTTTCTGTTGGATAATCTTTTCAAGCATGATCTAACGCCTCCTTATGCTTACTTGAATGACGCGCTTTTTTTAAGGTTGGGCAAGTTATTTCACCCACTTTTTGATTTTAAACCCTGGAACACCATACATATTTGGAATCAGCAGGAAATTTTAAGAACTTTGACCGTTTTAGTTTCCAAAATTTCCACTTCCGGTCCGATTCTAGAGCCGGAAGTTGACAAAATTTTTGAGTTTGGCCAACTTATGACCTATCAAATTGATGCTCAGAAAATTTTGAGTAAACTCATCTTAAAATCATTTAAAAAAACCGTCCCAACCGCAGTCAAACCGACCGGCAAAACTAGGAAAAAAGGCATAAATTTCTGATTTTTCTTTCAGTTTTTAGCGGTTGATTTGACCGCGGTCGGCATTGATTCTTCTCTCAGATGATAGGAAATCTTCTGAGAATCAATTTGATAGGTCACAAGTTGGCCAAACTCAAAAATTTTGTCAACTTCCGGCTCTAGAATCGGACCGGAAGTGGAAATTTTGGAAACTAAAACGGTCAAAGTTCTTAAAATTTCCTGCTGATTCCAAATATGTATGGTGTTCCAGGGTTTAAGATCAAGAAGTGGGTGAAATAACTTGCCCAACCTTAAAAAAAGCGCGTCAATGCATAAAAAAAATTACTTGACAATATTTTGCTAAATTTTTTCATCACAAAATCAACAGAAATCTTTCAGAAATTATTTTTTAGTATTGAAAAATTCGTCTGTATTCACCTGCTTCTGATCAAAATACAAAAACAACCCCCTCGAGATCGCTCATGTTCTCCTCTCTTGCGCCCCAGAAACAGCGCCGCTCGTGGGAAAAAAGAAACGCGCAATATGCGCGCTTCCCGCGCGTATCGACGCTTTTTCAAGAAATCCAAACCATTTTTTAAATAAGAAATAAATAAAATACAAAACAACACATAAGAAAAAAGAGCTCAAGAAAAAAGAGAGATATCAAAATCAGCAAAAACTGCGAAGAGAGAAGAGATAATTAAGTTGGCGACTGAAAAACAAGTGGTAAGTAAGAAATGTCAATGAATTAATAGGAAAGATTGAGATTTTTTCATTTCATTAATTCAAGAGAACTGCTTTTTTGAAGAATATATAGACAAAAGAAGGTATAAATAGGTCAATTAGGAAGATTTTCCCTGGAAATTGAACAATTTTTAGTTTTTCAGCAAAAAACTCCGATTCTTTTCATAAAACCGCTCATTTCTCGCTCAAAAATGAGCAAGATTTAGTCCCGGACCGGTCATCTTTTTTCATCAGAAATTCGCAAAATAGGCAAAAAATAAACCAAATTTCAGTTGATTCCGAAAGATTTGAAAAAGAAAACAAAAAGCTCACGTGTCCCTTGTTTGTTGTATTCCAGTAGATATGTAGCGATAATACGTTACAGCGGTCGGAAAAATCCAAAAACTCACAAAAAGGCCGGACGACTAATTGCCACCGCTAGAATCGACGCGCTAAGCCACGAAGTGACTTTGAGGCAAAAGGCCGGATCATAATCGCGCTCATTCTAAAATCGAGTTTTTCGACCATTTTTTTTGATAAATCAAATTGAGGATTTGACGTAATTTTTACTTTTTTTTAGTCATTTGAGCCAAAAATCGAGAAGCCGCTTGCGGCTTTGAGCCAAAAAAATAAATAAAAAGCCGCGCAAGTCGCGGCTATCATTTCAAATCCGAAGCCGCAAGCGGCTTTTCGATTTCGAGTCGAAATTTTCGATTGCTTTTGCAAAATATTTCGTTGAATCTTCGTTGCGTAAACATCCTCCCATATTTTCAACACTATTTTGATCGGAGTTAATTGTCGAATTCCAGAGCGCACGGCAGCTGCGAATAAATTGAACAGCGGCGGCTGCGCGCGGTCGCCTTCGCGCAGTTAGAACGTGTCTCTCTCCCCGTTGAAGATGTATACACAAGAAATTCTCGAGTGATAAAAATTTGAAAGGAGAAAATAAACTAAGGGGCGGTGTTTTGATTTAGGGGGTTTCTAAGAAAAGATTCTTTTCTTGTTTATTTTGCCAAAGGAAGATTATATTATGATGAAAAAAAATTAATAACTAAAAATAAAATATTTAAGAATCTTATGGAAAATAATGATATTTTTTTTCAGAAATAAATAATTTTTTTATATCTAAAATTTTAATTTGCTTATAAAAATAAATCTTAACGTAAAATAGAGGCTGCTCTTATTTATTGAAGCGATACCCTTAATTTTAGAACGCAAATTCTCGCTGAAATAATCCTTCCCTTGAAATGTCTTTTAAAAACTGTTGAGTTTATTTTTTTCACCTGCAAATTTTGAAGCATTCTTGTATTTTGAAAACACGTGTCTTTTCGCATTTATTTTCAGATTTTTTAGAACAAAGCCCAAAATAATTGCGCGCTATTAGGGCAGCTACTCTGTCCGTGATTTAACTTTTTCTGGCAGCTCTTTGACACATAATGCTCTTTTGATTGGCGCTTTTCTTGAAGCAATGAGTTTGCCACTTTAGTTAAAACTTGTCAATTTGATCTGTGAGAAAATTTTTCATTTAACAAGTTCTACTCAAAATTAACCGAATTTTTGGCCACGAATTTCGGTTTCTTGGGCTCGAGAAGATGTTAACATTAAAATTATTCGCAGGCTCTATAATTTTTTATAAAAAAATATGATGAAAAGAATATTTTCTACGAATAAAAAATATCGTATATAAAAAGTCAAATAAAAACACAGGTTTCTCCTTGAAAATTGCGGAAAAAAAAATGTTTTACCCAAGTACGTGGAAAATTCAAAGCAAGAATTTTCAACATTTTCTCGAGAACCACATCTGCATTATTTGCACCGCATATTGCGAAAATTGAACACGGAAAATTGTTGCGGCAAAGTTTCAATTTTTACTCAGTGGACTTTGCCCCATGATTTCATCTTTTCAGGAAATTTGAAATTTCTTATTTTTTAACTTTTTTGTTTAGGCATGAAAATAGGAAAATGGCTGACTCTGTTGGCCGGTCAAAGCGTTTCCTCGAAGCTGGGGCTGTCCCTTAGCGACCGAATGGCGAAAGACGTCTCGTTGGAAGAAGAAGTTAGCGAATGCATCGCCCTATCAAACGACTCGCTCCGGGTGCCGAACATCGTCCACTACATCTGGTTCGGATGCAAACGCGACTTTCTGCCCTACCACTACCTTTCCGTCCTCTCGTCGCTTTCCGTCCAAAACGCGTGCAAGGTCTTCTTTCACACCGATTGCGAGCCGCCCGAAGAAAACGAACTCTTCTCACATTTGAAGGAAAAAGGTTGAAGCTTTTTCTAAATGAAGAATTCTAGAATTTCTAATAAGGGTACACTCGAGGAGAGCAGCGATAATCTTTCTCGTGGTCGTTTTCTAATCACTCTCGAAAAAACATGATAAACAAACTGTTTAAAATATACATCGACGGCTCTTAAACAAGCCACGTTTTACGTAAGGTACGCCCTTATCAATTTCTAAGAATGAATCGCTAAGAAAGAGGGGTGGATTGAAAACTGAGTAAAAAACCTGAGTAGAAAACCATAGTTGAAAACTTGAGTAGAAAACCTGAGAAAAAACCGTGGTAAAAAATCTGAGTAAAAACCTGAGTTAAAAACCTGAGTTGAAATCCTGAGTTGAAAACCTGAGTACAAAACCTGAGTAAAAAACCTGAGTAGAAACACTGAGTAAAAAAAACCTGAGTAAAAAACCCTGAGTAAAAACCTGAGTAAAAAAACCTGACTAGAAAACCTGAGTTGAAAGCCTGAGAGGAAAACCTGAGTAAAAACCTGAGTAGAAACACTGAGTAAAAAAAACCTGAGTAAATAACCCTGAGTAAAAACCTGCGTAAAAATCCTGAGCAGACTTCGGTTTTTTTTTCTAAGGAAGATTAAATTTTCCTTCAATACAAATTTCTTCCCCGCTAAAGCCCTTCATCCCCTTATCGCCAAAACAAAAGCTCTAACCAAAAAACAGGAACATGAAAACTTCCGAATTGTGCCCAAGGAAGCGCCTACTCAGGAACGGCTAATCTACTTCTCACGTAAAATAAGCTTTCAAATTTGCTAAAATTGCTGCTTGTTTTCTCGAGCGAGTAAATTGAAAATTTTCCAATTGGAGTGAATATTTGATTAGCCAGAAACTGCAGATTTTCAATCGACCGGTAGAGCGACTTGAGCACCAAGCTGATGTTGCTAGAATCGAGCTTCTTATGAGGTAAGACACAGTTTATTTTATAAAATTTTATTTAAATCTATTTAAAAAAATATGGGGTTTTTGAAAAAAAGGAACATAATGAATCTGATGATTTTGAGGATAACGATGCATTTTATAATTTTTGACTCAAATAAGTTAAGTTTTAAATTCAGTTTTTCGTATTTTTAATCAGAAATTTTTTCCATACTGCCGCGGTATCCAATTTTACCGATTAGAAATGGTTCATTTTAAAAATAATTTTTTTATTAAAATGGTAATTTGCCACTTTAGATTCCCCTTTTTTATGGTCCTTTATAGCGCCACCTGAGTGATAAGGATCGATTTTTATCTGATCGATAAAAGAAAAAGGGTCGATTAGTGATGATAAGGTAGATAGGGCAAAGATTGTATTTTTTGAAAATGGAACATTATGTATGTTTACGGGAGAGCATCTGCTCGGTAGGTGCTTATCGGGATTCAGGGGAAGTGGGTATCAATATTTAGAAGCATTCCCGAAGATGCGCGGATGGCCGTACAAGGTGATCATGTCGTGTTGAATCGTCACCTAAGCATTAACATTCCAGAACGCTTAATTTATGCTAAAATTTTTTTCTGAAAAAAAAAGACTTATTACAAAACTAGCTTGGTCCAGAATTACGCGTGGCTCATTTTTTATCCGCTCGAAAATCTCGCCTTTTATACCGTTCCTCGAAAATCTAACAACTCAACTTTCTAAAACCGGATTCAGCCAACGCGACTTGAATCGATTTTTTACGGAACATTTAAGGACAGATTCAGTTTTATCATTCAGTAGAATGACACCGTGAGAAAAGCAGTTTAAATTTGCCAAATCGACTCACTTTCGGATGAGAGTCACTTTGTTGATTTTTGGCGGTGAACGGTTGTTTACAAAAATTGGTTTCTTTCAAGAAGAAAAATCCAATTTTCGGCTCGAATTTTCAATTTTCGAACGAACCGCTATTTTTTTCTTGTTGAGCAATTATCGAGCTTGTTTGGAGGAAAAACTTATTTTCGTTAATTGTTCATTAATTTGTCACAAAACTTGCATAAACCCGTCGACGAGTTAATGACTCCAAAATAATTATGGCACAATAGCTGCATCTATTTCTACAATAGAATTGATTCCGAATGCGTTACTTTTCAAAAACGTGATGGTCAATTATTTGATTATTTTCGGGTCAATTATTGGAGAAATTATTGCATAAAGTTCAATCTTCGCTCTAGAAATTTGGCTCGAAAACCTGTGTAGAAAACCTGAGTCAGGGTTTGAAAAATCTTTTTATTTTTAATTTAATTGTAAATAATTTATTAAAAATTTTTAATTAATAATTATTTTAAAAATTAAGTATAAAAACTAATTTAATAAATAATATATTGAAAAATATTTGATAATTAATTAATAGAAAATAAAAATAATCGTAGATTTGACAAATCCTGACTCAGGTTTTCTATACAGGTTGCGGTGCCAAGGCTCTAGAATTGAGTAATTACGGGAAAATCTTGGGCAGGAAAAAGGCTCAAGATAAAGAGGAAAGAAAATCTCTTGCCCGTCTAAAGAATCACGAAACCGCGCCTGTTCAATCAAAAATAGAGAAACAAGATCTTTTAATCATCGATCTTCTCGAACGCATTCGCTCATCAATTCTAGCTTCTCTCTCCAGAAAAATGGCTCGTTTTCAAAGTGAGTGTTTCCGAAGGAGGAAGAAAGGCAATCATTTTTAAATTTTGAGTCGAAATTTTATTTATTTGGAAATTTCAATGAAAATTTTTTGATGGCGATATTTTCGTTGCAAATTGGGCAAGTATGGTGTGTGTCTTGGCAGCCACCATTGTAGTATGGGATCAGAGCGCAGCAAGGGCCCATACAGAATGTCAAGCAGCCAACAGTGAACAGAATCACTGACAGAAAGCGTGTCGTTGAGCCCGGTTCCCTTCTCCTATCGGTAAAGCCTTCGTATCCGCAATTAGGGCAGACGCATTTTACCGGATCGTGATCGAAGACAATCGGTTCTGGCTCCTTCTTGATCACTTAAATTTTTCACTAGGATGGTCAGGGTAAAATAATTACCAGGTTGTTCGCCAGGAAGCTCCTCCATTTTTATGCTAGAATTCTGATTGTTCTCCATTTTCAGAAGACTTCTCTTTTGAATACCGACTGGAGTCTACCGAGGCTGAGGTTCAAGTAAATGTCAGATGGAATGAGGAAGATCATACTTATTATTTCAGCATTTGATAAACGACTTCATAATACCGGGATTCTCTTCGTTTACCTTGAATCACATAGTTCAAGAATGACTTATTCTAAATGACTAAGATGGATTATTTTTACTCATACATATTCGTCATTTCATATGAGTCATATAATATCAGTCATATAATATGAATCATATTATATGAGTCATATAATATGAGTCATATTTGAGATTTTTTTTTGTTACTTTTAATAATTATTTTTTTTTTCTTATTATTTTTAGCATAAAAAAATCAGTTTTTAGCTAAGCTTTTTTATTCATTAATCGTCATGTGATATTCACGGGCAAGAATTTTCCCCTTAGCGTTACACGTAAGAAATGTAAGAAGTCGTAGAAGTCGGATCCTTCTTAGTCGTCGAAAATTCAAGTAGCGGGGGCGATGATTGAGCTGGACCCTCGAATATATTTGTTCAATCAAGTGGCTTTTAAGACGCGTTTTCGAAGAAACTACATTTCGTGAGCGCTAAGCCAGGAGGTTTGCTGTACAAACAAATGAGGATACATTGGCTTAAAAAGTTTAAACGTGGATTTGTCCGGTTTCAACCTTCGGTTTTAAGGAGACACGCATCGATAATCGCATTTTTCATCAAATTTTCGTTGTAAGATTAAGAAAGTGATGCCCTTATTTTTTGTTAAGTCAAAAATATCAAATTTTTCTTGAGTTTTTTTTTGATAAAATAAGGGTGTCACTTCGAAAAAATCAGATTTCTTTTTATCAAAAATTTCTTGTAAACTTAAAGTGATACCCTTATTTTTCGTTTAGTGCAAAAACTCAAATAAAGATTAATTTTTACAAAAAAAATAAGGGTGTCACTACGAGAAAGTCTCTTGAAAAATATTTTAGAAAAAAAAATGTTTTTGACTCAAATTTTTTCGTTTAAAATTGTTTTTTTTCGAAGAAAAGAATACGTAAGATGTCACTTTGCTGAATATCCTGCTGGGGGGTTTCCCTCACCTGAGCCATAATTGATAGCATTCCGAAGCAAAGCCAGTTTGTTTCAATTATTCTTACGACGTGTTATGCTCCGGAGATTCTTCGGTGCAATACTCGACCAAAAATCGTTCATTTTATCGAGACACTAATTAAGGCTTTCCACCTCGCTAAGGACCTTCTATTTTTTTTTCTTTAAAAAACAATAAAGTTAAAAGACAAAAAAACTGTCAATCGAATTGGTGAAATCAAGTTTTGCAACTTTGAAGGTTTTCACGTAACTCAAAACCGCGAAAACGAATCATTAACATTCCATTGAGGACTAAGCAGCGCGATTGGAAACGCAATTATTTCCATTAACAAAATCAGTTCTCAAAATTCTTGTTCTAAAAATGACTCTCAAAAAAACTAAAATTCTCTCTCATCAAATAATTTTTGAAATATCAAGCGAAAAAAGAGATTGACAACTTAACCTGTCGATGTAAGAAGAACTTATCAGGATTAACCTGTTTGCGCATTTTGTCCAGTCGGGGGCTTGACATCAGCATTAACCTATACGCGTCAATATCTTCCTTGTTCCGAAGCGTCCTGTGCCAGGACCTGAGTCAGGATTCAAAAAAAAATTTGATAAAGGAATTTTTTGAATCCTGACTCAGGTTTTCTACGAAGAGCTAAAATTTTCAATTTTCGGCTCGAAAAAATGAGAAGATGTCTGGAACCGACAAAAAAATTTCGACAAATTTTCGAGGAAATTTTCAACCAATCAGAAGCCTTAATTAGGCTTATCGGCCAATCAGCAGCCGAGAAGCCGCCCACGCGAAATTTTTAAAAATTTTTTGTCGGCGACCCTGAAAAAATGCGATATTCATGCCAAATTTAACTGATTTTAACCTCCTTCGTCTCTGAAAAATAATCTTTGGTTATTCACGAATAAAAATGAAAAAATAAACGTGCTGGGAATCTTTGTATCTCTCCAGTGCCGAGAAAACTGGTCGTGTGGTTTTTGGAAAAAGTGAACTTATCGTCGCCTGGACCCCGCCTAAGCCGCAGATAAAGGCACACTTGCGCAAAGAGGCCAACTCTGGGGGGAGATTGCGCGCGCGGGGGGCAAACCCAGTAAAGATTTTGCTTTAGACTTTCTTGATTTTTTTGTTCAAAGAAATTTTTTAGATATGGTGGAATTTATTTGGATGATACTCAAATCGTCACTCGTTCTATGGGTTTGGTTCTGAAAGACTGAAAAATAAAGGTTGAAAGGAGCAGGTAAAGAACCAAAAAAGACCCTCTTCGTAAGCTGTCCTGCACTTTGCCGTACGAAAAGAAGGGAACCCTGATGAATGGAGTCATCGTTTCAGAACCAAACGCACCGTTTTTGAAGAAATGGTTGTTTCTTGGATACAACGACTTTGAGGTACTTGGGCGATTTAAAGTCTATCATTTATCATGATTCATTCATTGATGAGGTCATCGATCTAAATAAAAGAGATATAATTTAATATTCATGAGACATTCGATTTTGAAAAAAACCGATTTCGAAAATTTCAAACATTATTATGATTTTTTTTCGGGAAAAAGTTAAGCTGCGATTTTACGTTCGCGAGAAATTTTCCCGAAAAAAAAACTGGCCATTGATTGGCCGGTAGGCCGAATAAAAGCTTTTGATTGGCTCATTTTATTTCATGAAAAAAATGAAGATTTCTTGCTTTTTTTTGAAATTCTTTGCCACAACAAAAATCTAATATTTCTTTTCAGGATCATAGGTGGGCATGGAACTCCTGCCGAAAACCATATTTTCTCTGGGAAAAGTATCCAAACCTGCTGCACGTGGAGCCAAAGACGTTTCTTCCCAGCTGGGACCAGTGGGAGGTAAGAAAAAAATCGTCGATAATTTGATTTCTTTGAACGGAGGAGCAAATCGAATCGAAAAAAGCTGTTTTTCAAACTCATCCCCTCTTGTGATATTTTGAATACAGAAATTTGATTTCGAGCCGAAGCGCTCTCGAAAATGTAGTTTGTTGAGGGCACATGTTTGGCTTTCCGATTTCTAGTAAACAGCTTTTCTTCAGAATTGCTTTGACATTTAGGGAAAACGAAGAATTTCGTTGAGAATAGACAATTTTCGAAATTTATTAGAAATAGGGAAATTTTGCCCCAAAGTCACCTAAAAGCTGCAAAAAAAATATAAATTAAATTTTGCGTCGAAATTTTTGACTCGAAAAAACTCGAAAATCCGTCTAAAACAAGCCTTTTTCGGACTCAACAAATTTATGGAAGTGATTCTATGGATCAGGGTTTTGATTGGCTGTAAGGCCAAATACAGCGATCTTATTGGATATAAAAAAATGCACTTCCATGAATCGATTTAGTCCGATAAAAGATGGTTCTCGGCCGATTTTCGTGTTTTTTCGAGTCAAAAATTTTGACGCAATTTTTTTTTCAGATTTTAGATTTGTTTGAGGCTTATTTTTCAAGTTTTTCTTAAATTTTCTCCTCTCAAAATATTTTTAAACCATAAATTTCCGTTCCCAAATATTATGCAACGCCAATTTCAACTCTTTTTAGGAACTGTTCTTCGATAACCACTACCCCTGGCGAGAAAATGACAATTACGCAGGAACGGGTTAATTTTTCTACTTTTTCAACTTCCGTTTCTTCAATTGGATAATTACGGAAGCAGAAGCTATTCTAAACCTGCCCCCTATTTTTATCCCAAACTTGTGTTATCATCCGAATTCGGTACTTGAGAGCCTAATCGAGTGTTTAATCTCAAAACTAAAAAACATGATGGCAAAATATGCAACATGATTGATTGAACCATTCTAAGCTGCTTATCTTGTGCCCAGAAATTTGAAAAAAGACTTGATCAAATAAAAAATAATCTCTTTCGGAATTATATCATGAAATCCATGTTATTTTTCCGCTAGAATTGTTTATTTTTTATTCAAAATTTTCACTTGAAATTTTCAAGTTGAAAATGAAAAAATTGAAAATTTTTCTTGAGAAAATAAAAATATTAGCCCTGGAAAAGTGCATATTTATCACAAAAAATACCGCCGGAATCACAATCTTGAGGAAATCGTAGGTATGAATAATACTTTAGGAGAATTAGCTAGGCACACGGCGACGGCATATAACGCTTGGCCAGGGAGGTCCAAGTATTTGCCGATTTTCGAAAGAAGAGATGATGCGAATTCAAGAAGCCAGTTTTTGTAAATATAACAACCAGGTAAGTTTGTGACTTGTCAGCAGATTCTTTATTGTTTTCGAGTAAAAAGACAACATTTCAATATGTCCGATCGATTTTTAAGGGGGGGGTGTCAGGAACCGACAACAAAATTCGACAGATTTTGCATTTAAATTTTCAACCAATCAGAAGCGTGGATTCGGCTAACCGGCTTATCAGCAGCCAAATAGCCGCCTACGCAAAATTTGTCGTAATTTTTTGTCGATTCGTGACACCACCCCCTTAAGGACCCCCTCCGTCTAGTGGAGATAACTTTTTGAACAGTGATTTTGGAGACACGCCCTTAAGATTTTTGACAATTTTGTAAGAAAATGATTGTTAGAAAACTCAAAAGTCGGTTAAGGGTACTCAAGTCCTCTTTTTAAGGGTGTCGCAACAATAAGTTAAAATTTCAATTTTTCTTTTTTGAAATTTCTCTTGAAAAAATCCAAGTACCAGCCACTCGAAAATATTTAAACAAGTAGCCAAAACGTGAGTTGGAACAATAACCACCGGGTTCCATCGAAAATTCTTGCAAAAACATATAAACTCGGTGTGCTCTTCAATTTTTCAAATTTGCGGCGTAATTTTATCCGTTCCGCAAAAATAAAACGAAATTGGTTTAGCTACACCTCACGAATCAACCCGCCTTTCAAATTGTACAGAAGACGCCGACCCGAGTTGTCTGTTAAAGAAGACTCAGATGAAGAGAATTTTAAAAAGAAAAAATCTTACTGTAAATAAAACAAAACTTTAGAAATCCAAAAATTCTGGTTTTCAAGAACTCAAGTTTCGATCACTTACTTTCTCAAATCTCAAAATGACGGGGTGAGTAAGAGAGAGATTCTCGAATATGAGAAGAGGGGGATTAAGGGTATCCGCAATGTGGGGTAATTTTGAGATTTTTAAGGATCTCTTAGCGTTATGGTGAATCATGGAGAGAATTATTATTACAGAATTTGCCTTGAAATTCCAAAAGACAGTATCTTAGAAACGCAGGTTCTCTCCCTTATCAGTAAAAAAATGATAAGGAAAGCAGACCCTTATTTGTCATTAGAAAACCCAAATCTTAATTTTCACTTTTAACTTTTGAATAATTTTTTATGTCATCACTGATGACTCATCAAAAAAGCCAAAGATGTCCATATAACTGAAGCGTTGAAAACAAGGAAGAAAACATATGTCGCAGCTCATAGAGCGGTAAATTTTTCTTATAAAAAGAAGAATCTTCTTAACAAGAGCTTGAAGATGAGACTTTTTGTTTTCTTTATTTTCCCGATTTTCGCGGTGAATTTTTCAACCCCATATCGAACAGTTGACACGGAATATCGACGACTTGAGCTCTACGGATCGCCCTATTATGGACCGATTGAGGATCATACAACCGCAAATCATATTTGTAAACAGGTAAAAAGAGCGGGTAAGAATATTGAGGAACTGAAATGATAAGAATGGGCTTGTTCTTCCGGACCCAATGGACGAAAACGAAGCTCAAGCAATCTTTAAAGACAACAATGGTCTTCAGCTTGTAGCAAGTTATCATACAGGTAAACGCCTTTTAACAGCGATTGTTTTAACAGTTTTTGAAATAGGGATCATAAGAGACGAAGCTTGGAATTGGATCGCCTCAAGAAATTTTCACCTCTTTGTTATATAAATTTTTTATACCAACAAATTCATGAAATTTAAAAAGCAATAAACGAGTACCAAAACTCTATTGGGGCGCCGGATTAGTGTCTGACGGCTTTGCCGAAGCTCCAATAAGGCATGAACCTCCAATGATTGATTTCGGTCTTTGCTTGGCTCGTGAACTTACTCTCCACGCTTCCGCACTCAAGTTGAACGTCTGCGACAATCGGACTGAAGCGACATTTCTTTGCGCGCACGATGATTTGGATTTTGCGCTGAAGACTTATCTCAATAGAGATTTCATTGAAATGACTCATTGCTGGACGAAATATGTTCTGTACAGTGACATTCCAGCTTATTGCTTTAATTCGTCACCATGCAACTTAGAGGCCTTTGAAGAACTGGCGGGACAATGGACCGAAGAGAAAGAAAAACTTATTCAAAATCGCAAACCAAGACGAATAAAGTGAGTTAAAAATGGGATGGCGTCTAGAACCGACAAAAAAATACGACAAATTTTGCGTGGGCGGCTACTCGGCTGCTGATTGGCCAGTTTGCCTGATCAAGGCTTCTGATTGGTTGAAAATTTCCACGCTAAATTTGTCAAAATTTTTTTTCGGTTCCAGACACCTCCCTCTAAAAATGCCCGATTTTTCAATTATCGAACCCTTAAAGGTGTCAACAGCGATTTCGCCCAGATCGTTGTTGACACCCTTATTTGCTCAAAAACTTAGGGACGCTGCGGAGCAATGCTCGAAAGAAGGTTCAAAGCTATTTCGCCCGTCATCAAATAATCTCGATTTCGTTAAAAATCTTCATAAAATAACGATGGACATCATTTGGGTGAACGGCTGGCAAGATGATACGAATTTGCGAGAATTCGAAAGCGACCTTCTTCTATCAAAGGAAGACTTTCTTGGCATTGATTTTTCGATCGATTTTTTTGGGAGAGAATTAAGGGGAATCCCTAAAAAGGAAGATTATTCAATTTTTGAACAAGTTTCTATTCTTGAAATGGTTTCTTAATCGTTCGAAGCACACCACTTTTTCAACAGGTGGGAATTTATGGCAATCTCGAACTCGATTGAAAGCTGTTTTTATTTGCATGGAGGCGAGTTTTTCTATTTTTTTAACAGTCAAAAAATATGTATTAAAAGGTGGTAGAAGAATTCGAAGCGATTGAAAAATTTCAATTTCTGGAAAATGCTGAACTTGGGATTGAGGACATTCAAGAGATAGAGCGATTACCCGATGGAAAAGGCGTTTATATGAAAGTTGACGCGAAATTTTTGCTAGGAAAGAGTTCGTAGATTAAGGGTATCGAAGCAAATTTCATCAATTGAACTCGAAAATGCCATTGCCCTTGGATCTTCAGCAGTCATTTCCGTCACTGTAACAATCTGCATCTGTATCGCTTTCCGCATGAAATTGAACAATCGCGACGAGATACATGTTATCAACTGAAATAATAAAAAGCACATGCCATAAAAATACAGAATAAGGGTGTTATTTACGAAAGCCCACATTCGATATTTGCAGCGCACCTTAGCTCAGCAAATATTGCCATCGCAGCCCGAGATTTGCTGACTAATAAAGGCTAAAGAGGAATTTTTCCACAACAGCTAGAAATCATCGATTTTTGAAGTGGCGAAAGATGACGGTGGACCCGACTGAAGATCATGATTCGTTGCCACCGGAATGTGAAACATACTCGAATCTTTCATTCAGTACAGTTAGCAATTACAAAGAGGACATTCAAATACCGAATAAGGAAGAAAACAAGTTTGACTTTTCAGGTTAGTTCTGAATTCAGTTGTTATCACAAGATTCGAATAACCCCTTCCCCCCATCAGCATTCTCCTTCGAAAAATGGAAGTTTTTAAGAACACCCTTTTTTGGTTGTTAATGCGTCTTCAGGTTAAACTTGCTTCAAAAACTTCATAAGAGGAATTTTTGACCAAGAAAAATCAATATTTTTGCCAAAATTAGGCCAAATTTCGTCAATTTTCGGCGAATTTCCTTAATTATCAAAGTAATCTTTAGGATTGAAGGAAGATATGGAGAAAATAATTAACGATAAAATGGCCATTGTTGACATCCTTAACCACGAGCTTCTTGAGATGAAGTCGAAAATCAAAAACCTTGAAGAGAAGTCGGAAAGCCAGTCGCTGAAAATTGAAGATCTCGAAAATCAACTCCACACTGCCAAATCGAACAATTCACAACTGGAGGACATGCTTTTTCAATCGGCGGTTGATTATCCTGATCAAAATATCGGCCACTACTTGCAGGACGACAGAAGGCTGAAATCTGGTGGTCCCCGAGATGATATGAAAGAGGATGAAGTAAAAAGTGTGCTCATGTATTTTCATAACGGGCAGGCCAAAAAGGTCAATTTCAAGGAAGTGGGATATTTTTGACTTTCTGTTTTTTGCTGTTTTATGCAAAAACATCATGAAACATCCCTGTAAAGTTGAATTATCAAAGAAATCTCGAAGTCGAAAAAAGAGGTGTCAAATTCAAATTTCAATCGGCTCTAGAAAGACTTGGCGGAGATGGCTCTTATCATTTATCTCTCAGTAAAAACAGTAAGAACCATCTTCCGGGGCAGCTAAAAATAAATTTCAGGTGGAGAGGAAATACCATTCAAAGCCCTCGCTCAAGAAATCGACCCAGAAAGTGGCGAAATAAAAAACATGAAGTTGTTATCATCATTCAAAGATGGTGCTTTTCAGAAGATAAAATTTAAGAAAGAATCTGATGGTCGTTATATCCGTTTTAACCTTCTTCTTCTGTGACAAAAAATGAAAAATAAACGCGAGAGGGGAGGTCACATGTTCCAATTTTTTTGTTTATCTTTTTTATTTTGCCGGAAAATTGGGCGACCGGAAAACCAGCTCCCACCTCCTCGCGACTTTTTCATAACTCCAAGTTTCAACTTTTCAAAAATCATTTTCACAAAAAGTCGAAAAACCTAAAAATGAGAAAATCGCGAAGAATGAGCATCGTTTCCCTTTTGACCCGAATGAGCGAAAATTCCAACTTGCGAGAGCTCAAAAATGAATTGAAAGTGGCTCAACGGACTCAGCTGCAGAATCTCGAGTCGAATCATTCTGCGCAAATGGAGCTTGCGGCAGATTTGGTGTCTTTTTTGACCCTGAAAAGTAGGCTGCAGAAAGAGGTGGATGAGAAATTGTTGAAATTGACGAAGATTTTAACGGAGCGGAGTCAAAAACGATCCGGGATTTTCGGCTTCAAGGATTCGACTGAAAATGCTTTTGAAAATTTATTGAAGCAAGAGGAAATCAGTCTCAGGTAAAAAAAACCCTTCTTTCTCACCGCCAATTTTCAGCCACCAACTCCGCGCCTCCGAGTCTCAAAGCTTTCTCGCCGAAGAAATCATCTCCCTCGCCGGCTTGACCCAAAAAAACTTCGAGCAAAACGAGTCGTTCCTCGAAGCCGTCCATGAAATGCACAAAGACATCCTCGCCCAGCTCTTCAAGACCGACAAGTTCGTTCAAACTTCGGAGAAAAAATCAAGGACGAAAGAATTGGCACTCAAGGAAGACTTTGCGGTCATCAAAAATAAGCAGAATTTTGATGTTGCGAGATGCCAGATGATCGCGTTTGGCGAAGAATGGAACGGGCATCAGGCGCTAGAACTTAGTTTTAATTCTCAGGTAGAGGATTAGGGTTCACTCGATAACCTTTGTAGAAATCCTGAGTCAGGGTCTGAGAGATCTCAAGGGAAAAGTCACGTAGGTTTTTGAGGGGTTTTCGAAAATTATTCATCAGTCACGTACGCATTCTTCGTACGTGACCTTAACAATTTAGGATTCTGTTTCTCATAAATAGGTTTGAATTATTGCGAAGCCGCTTTGCGGCTTCGTTTAAAAAAAAAGCCGCTACGCGGCTTTTCATTTAAGATCTTTCAGACCCTGACTCTGGAATTTTGCACAGGTTTTAGATCCCAGGGTCACGGTTCAATATGATTTTTTAGGAAAATTTCACAGTCGAAGTGACAAAAATCTTTCAAAAAATCATCGATCTCCAAGAAGAACAAATCGCAAAAGACAAAAACCGAACCCTCATCTTCCAACAATCCCTAAACGCCGTCGACAAAGAAGAAATCCTCGCATCCTTCGCTGGAGAACTAAAACTGGAACTAGACTTGAACGAAAAAGTAAAAGCAAAGATTTCAAATCACGATCCACTTGATGAGTGCCAGCGGGAAGTGCAGGCGCAGAAATTGGCGGAAATTCGGAAGAGAAAAGAAGGATTGGAGAAGGAAAAACAACTGCTTGGAAGAGTTCAGAATAAGGAGACGAGCTTGATTCCAATGGTGGGTATTGAAGATAGCGAGGAGGAAATTGCCAAACAGATTTTGATCATCAGGAACGGTTTTTGAAAAAAATGAGACATTGTCACGTACGCATTTGTACGTGACATGAACAATTTAAGAATTTGCCTCTGAAATCTGCCAAACATTATAAGAATTTTTTAAATAATTATTTAAAAGAACAAGTGATGATTTTTTGGAAAAAAACCGTCTCGAAGACATAAACTCGCGATTAACTCTCTCGAAAAAGCCGTCACCGAGTGTCTCGTCAAAACGAAAGTCTTCGCCGTTGCCAGAAATTCTTCCATCGCTCAAAATCATCAAGAAATATCGGTAAATTATCATTCTAACCGAGAAATTGATAATTAATTAAGTTTCCTCGCGGCGCTGTCATTGAACTTCCACAAGGTCTATCCGATTCGGAGATGGCGTTTGGCCTCTATCTGGTATTTCTTTAATCATTTTGAAAGCAATCTTGATGAATTATTCAGGCGAAAGGCGGTAAATTCCCGTCAAAATGCGTTGAACTCATTTCTGAAATCAACAAAGAAGAGCCTGAAAGAGAAGCTGGCGACCAAACTGACGATGAAAACTTTATTTCCATTCCTCCTGCTATCAAACTCATTTGAACAAAGAATTTTTCTCTCGCTTCAGATTTATAATTTCAAACATAAACAAGTTGACAAATACAAGGTGGCTCAGTAAGCATTGTAAGCGTCCATCAATCCATCGGCGATCGAGCCATCATACGCGCTGAATAAAAAAAATAATCGAATGAAAAAAATATTTTATCAATTCGACCGCTCTCTTTTTTATTGGGGTTGTGTCCTAAATCGACGAAAAAATCTCGAAAAATTTTGCGTGGGCGGCTACTCGGGTGCTGATTGGCCGGTTAGTCAAATGCCGGCTTCTGATTGGTTGAAACTTTCCTGACACTCCCCCTTTTATTGAGTCAAAATATGCTTTTTATAGGTTTTTGAAAATTTTTATTGCCTGAGATTATCCCAAAAATACCCATGTCTGAAACAAATTTGCATGGAAAATTTCAACCAATCAGAAGCCTGGATTCCGCAAACCGGCCAATCAGCAGCCGAATTGCCGCCCACGCATAATTTTTCGGTATTTTTGTCGATTCCGGAGGCCACCCCGGATTTTTAACCTATTGTAGCGACACCCTTAAGATCTTTAACCCTAACGCTTTCCCTTATCGTAAACAAAACCCCTTTCTTTTCAGTAAAAAATGCCGACTTACTAGTTGAATGGATTAAAAGCCCCTCGTTTTTGCTCCTGCATCTTTGGCAGCTTTCCCAGTCCAAGAAGTCCGCCAAAAGCAGCTGAGCTCATTGTCACGACAAAAAGTGATATTTTCATCCTCTTCTTCTCAATGTCTTAATTTTAATTCTCAGCGCTGCTCCGTCATTTTTCTTTTATACGCAAAAAGTGCGTTAGCAAAATTAAATAAATTATCTCCCATAAGATAGGCTGGGTTGCGTCCGAAAAGATCAGCCCCCGATCAGTGTTAAGGATCTCACCAATTTTGGAAATGGGGATCGCGTTCTTTTTCGGAGATAAAGAGGGGCAGCAAAATTGAAAGGAAAATAATTGACCAGGGGAAAATGAGAACAATTTGGGACGGAAAAATTCAAAATCAAAATAAGGGTGTTACTTCTTTATGCGATTTTTTTTTTTCAAAATTGCTCAAATTCAAAAAAAAAATTGTGAAAATTTTGACCAAATTTTCAGTCAAATTTTACACTCATGAATCATTAGTCATGGTCAATGAGTCATGGTTTTCGAGTCGAAAAGATTCTGATTGGTCGAAAATTTCGACCAATCAAAATTCCGGATTCGCATTGTTTTTTCTGAAAAAAATTCGCGAAGAAATCCATTTTTTTGTCTTAAATATCATCAAAAATGTTAAGAATCTGACCTTGTCGTTAAAAACCAAATCGTCTGTATCTAATGTTTGACCCAAATGAGTATGATCTGGTCTATTTATTATCTTGGAGAATCAATAATTCACGATGGAACGACACTAATGATGCGTTTATACAATCCGACGGGCTGCGTTTTTGAACAGTGCTTTCTCTCGAACCAACGTCCAATTACATCTTCAATTACTGTATTCATTCATAAATTAGTAGATGCATGCAAGTCAGAATTTGACGAAAGTCATTCTTCGTCAGCGAAAAAATTACTTATTCAAGGCAAATTTCGAGCAGGATCAATTTGACACTCAAATTTCGGAATGCTGCTTCGTTTTACGAGACCAATGCAAATGTTGCCGACTACACGAAGCTTCGATATTATTGATTTTTCGATCAAATAGTCCCAAAATTTCTGCAAAAAGCATGTCGAATGAAGGGGGAAAAGAAATTGACTATTTTTACAACACGAAAGATGAAAGAGAGCAAACGCTATCAGAACTTCGATCAGGTAATAAAAGAGATAAAAAATACGAATTATCGAATTATTAAAATCCTTATATAAAACTCTTGTAGAAATGATGATGCTGCGCGCAGTGGTCTCTGATCTGAGCAAAAAATTCGAGGATGAGAAACAATACCGACTTCGAGCTGATTACGAAAAGAAGCGGGAGGCTGAGTTCGCTCGGCAGCAACTTGAAAAGGAGTTTCAAACGAAGATGACGATTCGGGAAGACGACTTGAAGTTTGAGCACCAATCAGTGGAGAATTCTTTGCGGGAGGAAATAAGAGAATTAAGGAATCAAAATGAAGAAAGGATGGTGAATTTTGAGCGGAAAATTCACGAGCTTGAAAGAAATTTGCTCACTAAAATGGAAGTCAAAGAAAGAGTTATTTCAAAGCAACAGCAAGAAATAAACAACCTGAAATCGAAAAATAAGCAATTCGAAAAGAAAGTGTCGCGGTTGAAAAATCAAAATGATGAGTTGGAAAGAACAGTGAGAAGGTATAACGACAGAACAAGGATAAACGAAGTTGAAATAGAAGAGAGGCGAGAATATGATGATAAGCAGTTTCAAGAGCTGAAAAAACAATTTGACGAAATGAAAAATCAATCAAAAAAGAGTGAAACTCGACTGAAAAGAAACGAGGGAGGATGCATTCTCCGAAATTTCGTTGTCGACCTTCCGCCGGAGAAATACCATTCTCGCGAAGACGTGATTCCTTTTCTGAGCGCTCTTGACGCGGGCTTAGCTGACTTGAAACTCAAAATGCTTTTTACGAATCCGTTGAAGGCGAAATACTCGGATGATTATTTTAAAGTTGTTCAAGAAGGTGATTTTTTTTATTTTCCAAAATTATATCATGACAAGGCTGCTGAAATTCTTTGGAAAAGTGATTTTGGCTTTCGGACATATATTGGTGAACCAAGTTCGACAAATGGCGAATTGCAAATTCAATTCGTTATTTGTGTTCTTCCCGGAATAAAAATACAAATCGAAAGCAATATGGATAAAAAGTACAAAACAAAGTCAGATTCAGAAAAAAGAACAATTGAATCGAAGAAATTTCATTATTTCGCATTTATAATTTTCATTTCAAAAGAAAACTTTGACCGTCTCATTATCACTTTCAAAGTCTCTTCTCAATCAAAATAGTCAATTTTTGTTAAATTTAAAAAACACATTTTCTCATCGAAATTTTTCTCAAGACCAAGAACGAAATCTAAAATCATTCAATTTTCACTTTTCTCTGTTATTACCTTCCAAATCTGTTCAAATTTGATTCTTTGATAAATAAAGATGATTGATATAACAATGTATTCTGAATTTAAGGGGGTAGAACTAGGGTTTTCGAAAAAAGCCGATTCTAGACCGGCGCTCGAAGCCAAGAGAGCTTAGATTTTCAAATTTTCTCTTCGGCTGAAGATAGAAAAAACCTAGATCTAACAACATTTTTCTTAAAATAATTTTTCGTCAACACATTTTGGCGTTAGAGAGCGAAACTTCAACCCATCTCTTCGAAAATCGCAGTTTTAGCGTATTTGCGTCCTCAAATTTCTCGAGTCACAAGACTAGCCAAATGTTTAAAATCTCATTTTAAGATAGTTTTACCCTTTATCTAGCAACATTTTTGAGGAAATTGCGTTATCATAACTAAAAACAGGTTTTTCTTATTTAAAGTGCTGCCCGAAAATCACGGTTTTTCGAGAAATCTAGTTCTACCCCCTTAAAATACTTTGATCTTTAAAACTTGACAGTTTTGTCTCAGCTTAATAATTGGTTTATGAGAAAAGCAGGGTGTAGGGCGGCCACGGTACAAATTTGTACCGCCGTTACAAATTTGTACCGGCGGTACAAAAATTTTTGTACCGGCGGTACAAGCCGAAAATAAAATCCGAGAAAAAGTGTGCGCTTCGCGCTAGAATTGAAAAAAACTCCTTACTGGTATAGCTGAGGTGGAGTTCTGTCCAAAAATTATCATTATTTCGGGTAAAAATCGGTTTTTATTGTCAACAAAATTATCATTTTATGTACCGGCGTTACAAAATTTGTACCCGCGGTACAAATTTCACTTTTGTACCGTGGCCGCCCGCCCCCCGAAAAGCATATAAGATGTTCATTGACCGTAGTAATTCATTAAGGCTATAACGTCTCTTTTTGCCTCTCTGGAAAACAGACTTTCCTTGGTCGATTTCAAAAATTTAAAGGACAAACATACTTGTTTTCTCCTAAAAAATTCAAAAATGCCATCAAAAAATACTTTTCTTTGGTAATTTTTTGCTCTAGAATCATTCAAAAATCGCCGATCGGTTTTCCGAGAAAACTGGAAGCTCTGAGGTAAAATATATCCGACAATAATATTTAATAAAGCATAGTCTATAATCCTCACGGAAAATATTTCAAAAAATTGTGTAAATTATGATTCTAGTTTTCTCTTCTTTTAAATCTCTTTTGTTAATAGACTGACGCTTGAGATCCGCGCAGCCAATCAGAGCGCGATGAATCGCTTGACTCACACGCTCGCCAACAGCGCTCTCTTTTTGGCCTGGAGGATAGCACTCCGCGCAGCGCGTCAACGCGCATTTTTATCCTCAGGTGCCAGCACTAACATGGCCCTAGAATGAAATTTTGAGGAGATATCGAAGATTTTTTTCCGTGGGGATTGTAGAGAAGGCTTTAATCTATTTATTGATAAAAAAAAAATCTACCTCTGTAATGGGAAAATTCTTCGGAAAACCGATCGGCGTTTTTTAAATGATTGTAAAGTCGAAATTTCAAAAGAAATAATAATTTTTGATCAAATTTCTGAAATCTACGATAGATTTTAAGTATATAAATCTTTTTTATTTTTGAAATCGACCAAGGGAAGTCCGTTTTCCAGAGAGGCCAAAAGAGAGGTTAAAGCCTTAATAAGTCGATGCATGCAAGTTAAAATTTGAGAAAAGTAAGCATTTTTCAGCGGAAAAATCATTAATTCAAAACAAATTTGGAGCATCAAATTTCAAATTTCTATTTGAATTTCAATTTTCAGAATTCAGTTTGTTTTTACGAGACAAATGCAAATGTTGACAATGAAACGAAGCTTCGATATTCTCGATTTTGCGCTCTAATACGCGCCAGATTCCCTGCAAAAATGTCGAATGAAGAGGGAAAAGAAATCGACTACTTTTATAACACAAAAGATGAAAGAGAGCACACGCTAGCTGAACTTCGATCAGGTAAAGGAGGAAGAAGAAATCGAGAATCATAGAATTATTATAATCAAAATCTGAAAATAATGTAGAAATGATGATGCTACGAGCGATGGTTGCAGATCTTAGCAAAAAATTCGAGGATGAGAGGCAATATCGACTTCGAAGTGATTTTGAGAATGAGCAGAAAGCTGTATTTGCTCGGCAGCAACTTGAAAAGGAGTTTAATACGAAAATGACGATTCGAGAAGATGACTTGAAATTTCAGCACCAATCTGTGGAGAATTCTTTGCGAGAGGAGATACAAGAACTCAAAATTGAACTGAAGAAAACGCAAGAATCCGATGAAAAGCAGCTTCAAGAACTGAAAAACAACTGGATGATCTAAAAGCTCAATCGAAAGAAACTGAAACTCAAGTGAAAAGAAACGAGGGAGGATGCATTCTAAGAAAATTCGTTGTCGACCTTCCGCCCGAGGAATACCATTCGCGCGAAGATTTGATTCTTTTTCTGAGCGCTCTTGAAGCGGGCTTAGCTGATTTGAAATTCAGAGTGCTTTTTACGAGTCCGTTCAAGGCGAGATACTCGAATGAATATTTTAAAGATATTTATAAAGGTGATGATTATTATATTCCAAAATTATATCATGAAAGGGCTGGTGAAATTCTTTGGAAAAATGATTTAGGCTTTCAAATAAATATTGTTGAACTTAGTTCGAAGAATGGCCAATTAGAAATTTCTTTCGTTATTTTCGTTCTTCCCGGAATAAAAATACAAATAGAAAGTGACATTGATAAAAACTACAAAACAGATTCATTTTCACGAGAAATAACACTTGAATCGAAGAAATTTAATTATTTCGGATTTGAAATTTTTGTTTCAAAAGAAAACTTTGACCGTCTCATTGTCACTTTCAAAGTCTCTTCTCAATCAAAATAGTCAATTTTTTTAATTTACAAAGCACATTTCATCGCCAAAATTTTTCTCAAGCCAAAAAAATAATTTAAAATTATTAAATTATCATGCTTTTGTCTGTTATTTCTTTGACAATCTGTTGAATATCCGATTCTTTGTTTAATAAAAAAATCATCTGAAAGATGAAGGCTATGAAAATTTATGAATAAAAAAAGCATATTTTCTTTTAAGAGTATTGTTTTATAAGAAAAGGAAAAGGCAGTTTCTCTGACGCAGGAAAAATTAGTGACGTCAAAATTATAAAAACGAAATTAAAAAATATTTTCGTGACGCAGAAGAACCAGATTAGTAGCACCAAAAAGAGAGCGTTTGTAAAAACGCCATTCCGATTCGGGATCAATGGTAATGAGTTCCTACGTCGATGATGAACGATTCTGATTACGCGCAATGGCGTTGTCTAGCCGATTAACGACCACTTAAAAGCGACGACAACAGCGACAACCAAAATCATGCGGAAAGCGAAATTCGATAAATAAAACAACCAGCGCCGGGTCATGGACATATGATCATTTTTACTTTGCTGGTTTTTTCAAGCGCTTTCGGAGATTCGAGAAAAGAGGGTGATTTGAGTGGAGACAACGAGGAGAATTTAAGAAGATGCAGGGCTTTTGGCGATTTCGGGGCGAAATTGCAAATTTTCGAGGAAGAAAATTGCCAGGTATTGCCCCAGGGCTTTTCGAGAGTTCGTTTTTCATCAGTCATCGTCGATTTTTGGCTAGAAAAATGACCCGAATTTGTGTTTTTGGGCAGAACAAAGAAAAGAGAGATTTTTTCTCGATCTAGATTTTGATTGGCTGGTAGGCCAAATTCAGCCAGCCTATTGGTCATTGAAAAATCCACTTCCTTTTTTTGGTTTTGTCTGTTTATTTTATCTCAAAAAGCCAGAATAAGCTAATGACTTCTTAAATTTACCATCTTTGGATTTCAACTTTGATCAAATTTGACAAAATGAGGACAAAGAGATCGCTCAGATTTATACAGAGATCAACAGAATGACGATTTATGTTTTCTTCACTCAGTCTTCTCAAACCTAATTACCGGATGCATAAAACTCAATAATTTTTTTAGTGTCAAAGCAATTTCCGCCGTGAAAAAGATGCCTCGAATTCATTTACTTCTTTCAAACCATGTGACGCGTCGTCGACAAAAGGATTGTGTTCAGAAAGATATTAATCACTTTTGGTCACTTTTGGGCAATCGTCACAACTCAAAAGCAAATGGCCACGATAAAGTTTTATTTATAGACCAATAAAAGTAAGTTACTGCATTTTTTTCTTAATATTATGCTTCAAATTGCTGAACAAAATCAAAAGAATGCCCCGAAAAATGCTCCTGCACTGCCAAAATTATTTCTTCATGCATTTGCTCCTCAAATTTTATTTATTTTAACCAAAGGGAGGGATTTGACAAATACATTTTGAGAAAACTCCAAGGAAAAATTTCTTGTCAAATCCTTGCGAAAGCTGCTTTTTCGCGAAAACAAGTCATATCACCAAACGATCGATTATTAAATCGTCGAGGAAAGTGATATAAAATAATTAGTGCCACATTTGAATACATTAAATTTACTTTATTTACGACCGATCTGGGCGAGAAAATTTTCTAGACTTATTTTTTTTGACTATCAAAATCATGGTCGAAGAATTTTTCACATAAGATCCCGAATCAAAGGGTCATTTATAGCAATAAAAATCGTGATCATTTTTCATCTTTTTTTTTTGGATTAAAGTTGAGCTCGAATTGATTATGCTGATCAATGAGTGGCTGGAGGATATTAAATCGGTTTTCATCACCATAAAAGTGCGCGAGATACGAGAATGGGTGTCAGAATTTATGATTATTGGAAAAACTCAAGTTCCCACGAGCTCAGGTAAGCGGAGAAACCAACACGATGACGTTTCGTTTTCCTACTCCTAGGCCGTTTCTCTGCGATGAATGTAAAGAAGGCGGCGATTTGTATGCTCAATGTTATGAAAATGAAATTTCTACGATAAAAATTTTAATGAAAAATGGAGGCGAAATTCTGTCCGAAAATTCTTTAGGCAAGAGCTTTGAAAAATCACTGAATTCGCGATTTCTGACTCGAAAAAAGCTTTTTCTCAGAAAATATTTTACAAACACTCAATCAATCCGAAGTTTCTTCAGCCGAGGTTCAAACCACTGTATCACTTTTCTGCGGCTGCTCAAGTAAGCACCTTCCTTCATTTCTCCTCTACCCCTTTCAGACAACTTTCAATTCCGAAATGGCACCTGCCAATTGATCGACCATTACTCACATCACTGCCAAGAAGATGAGATTTTCGGAATAAACCAGTGCAATAAAATCACCAACGCCTCACCAATCGAAGAAACTATTTGCCATGAAGATGACTGCTCCAGTGTTGTTGCCTTTGAAGAATTATGTTTTAATGAAGAAGATACACTTGACGACGAATGTTTCGAATGTGCCCATGTTTGCGACACAACTCCTGTTCTTAAGAAGTTTTTCAAATGCTACGACTGTGCAGTTGAAACAACAACAACATCTCCGACTACAATGTTGTCAACGATAACCACGACTTCAACAACGACTTCAACATCGACAACGACAACGAAGACCACGACGACGACGACTACGACATCGACAACTAGTATAGCTGCGACAACATCAATGATGACAACGACGACTCAACCAGTGACCAGCCTATCGACAACTTCAGAAATAACAAGCCCTACAACGATTCCCGATTTCGATCCAAGTCAACCACTCGATATTCTGACAAAAATCATCACCATCTTTCCCAATGACATCTGTAAAAAGGACACTGATGATGAAGAATTCATTTGCGAGCCAAAAAACTCAATTTATCTGAATCGACCTTGGAACGCCGACTTTGCCAATCCTTTTTCACAATCATTCTATTCCATTTTCAACCAGGTCGGAAACTTGTTCAAATCTCCGCAAGAAGAAACAACTTCGACCCTGATGCAAACGAAGAGTAATTATCGCGTAAACGCTTCGACCTTCGAAATAACCTTGATCAAAATGACGCCCGTTTCCGAAACGAGAATCGAAGATGAATTGAGTGAGGAAGAATACAAGCAAGTGAAGAATATGATTCATTTAAGAGGGGGGTCGTCAATATTCTGGTTACGCAAAAACAAAAAAGCGCGAAAACCTGCTTTTATTGAAAAAAACAAATTCTCTGGGTATAAAGAAAAGGGTTGAAAGAATTCATCGGCGAGTAGAAGAAAAAAAAATTTTTTGAAAAATTTTTCAAAAATTAGGGTTAAAGTGGGGGTGTCTCTTGAGCAAAAAATCTCAAAACCCTTATTTTCTCTCGACAATCAAATAGTCTCTACGGATAGATTAGACCCTTTAGAATTCATCGGCGACCAAAAAACTAAGGGTCACTATCTTAGAAAAAAGTTTCTTGTTCATTGAAAATATGCGATTTTCGCAAAAATTCATATTTTTCATCATTTTTGGCCGAAATTTTTACAAAAGCTGCATAAACTCAAAATTTTTTATTGATAATGATTCAAAAACTATCGATTAACATTGCTTAGCAAGCAAATTTCATTTTAAAATTGTTTTTGGGCGAAATCACCCGCTTGAAAATTCTTGGCAAGCGCTCATTTTAAATTTTTTCAGGCTTTGAGTGGACCAATCAAAAAAAGCCAGAGACCAAAAAGTCATATTTTTTGATGAAGAATTCAAAAATGTGCTTGAAATTATCGGACTCGAAAAATTTTCATATTGACGACTCCCCCCTTAAGACTGTTGGTTTCTTATAAGTATGAAGTTGACAAAAATCTGAACACCGAGAAGAATAACCTTAGTGCAACAGGGTACAGGTTCAGATAAGACATAAGGGTATATAAGACCCTTTAACCAAAAATTGACATAGCAGTTTTCTCTTGAATGAACCCTGAAAAGGATATCGCTGAAGATGTAGTCAGGCGATTCGAAGTAATAAAGAAGAACATGTTCGATGAATACCGAAAGAAAAAGAAACGAAAGAAGAGAAACACTTCCGATATCATCGACGACATTTTCTTCTTTGATACAAAGTGGACTTATCGAATCGATTCGACGAAAGAATACGATGATCTGAAAAGCAAGTTAATAAAGGACGCCCTCCCAGATGACATAGAAATACCAGCGTACTTGGAACTTCTAGAATCCTGCTCTGATTGTGCGGTTCTCGATGACTCACCAGATCCGGAAATGGTGGAAGAAATTCTCTCCAACTTCGATCCCGACAAGCCGGATTTCTCAACCCTTGGTGACCCAATGGTTGACTCTCTAACCGGAGCAATGATGGACGTAGACCTCTGCACTGCCGTCAATCGGCAATTGATTCTCACGCTTTATGCAAAAGGAACTGCGCCGTTTCAGGGAAAAGTGCTCGGAATTCCGGCGGAATTGAGACCAATCGTAGCAGTTTTAATCAATCAGGACTCGCCCTACAATGTCACCGTGACCATTTTGAACACGGATATTTGGAAAGAAAGCGGCCAGGAGTTCTTTTTCGTGAACTTGAAAGACTCTGGCGGGAAAGAAGGGAGCGTGTATGTAAAAGTCTCAATGGATAGTTGCAACAAAGCTGCGGAAACAGACGCCGATTTGTCCCTCCGAGCGAATCTCAAAGTCGTCCAGGCCAGTTTGATAATCAAAAACTTGAAAAAAGAAGAACATGAAAGTGCAGTTCAAATTTCCTCCGAGCAAATTTACGCGGTCCTCAACGGAATCAACGCTCTCAAAAGTGTCGAATTCGAAACCTTTCGATTCGCGGATCGATCTTCTTGCGCTCCCCTAAGCTTTCCTCTCGATGGAGTGAGCCTCAAATCTGATGGCTGCACCATTCGAAGAGACAATCATCTCCAAGCAAAGACGGAAGTTGACCATCGTTTTCGAGATAAACTCGACGAACCTTACGAACCAACAGTTTTCGTCCGCGAGTTTGGGAACATCTGGTTCGATTGCTTCACCGACGAATGCACGATTCTCGACTTTATCCTTACCATGTATGACACGACCATGACCTTCGATGGGCTGAGCTTCGATGACAGTCTTTTCAAAGGACTAAATTTGGCAAGTGAACGAACCGCACTGCTTCTCAACAAGGAGAATCAAGTGAGAGCAGCAAGGCCCACGAGACCGATTGACTTCGCTCAAGCGCAGAATATTGGGAATGTGCTCATTTCACTGAGTGTGCTTTACTACTTGTATTGTGTTTACAAATTGGTTTTTCAGGAATCAAGGTTGAATCTGTGATCACTTGTAAAGTAAAAATGTAGGTATAATTAAAAATATTTTTTTGAGCTTTGATGACGTCTAGTGTCTTTAAGTTGATTTTTTTAACTCGAAATTGAGCTTTTTAGGGTTGAAATAGTATTCATGCAGAGTAGTAGGTATAAAAACTCAAAGATTTTCATAAGAGAAAAATGAGCCAGAGTGAAATGACGGTAAATTTGAAAACCCATAATTTCTGTTTAAAATTTGTTAAACCATATTTTATCTCTAAGTAGTTTAAGTGAGAACTAATTCATACTTGCATTCATTGAGGATGTGGATTTTAATTTGAAATCGACATTTTCAATTAATTTAAGGGATCCCCCCAATGGGGCCCATTTGGCCAACTTTGAGGTCGAACTACTTTTTTTCTGGCTTAGCTATCTAAGAAGTGAGAGGCATTTTTTGTAGCCTATTTCTTAATGAGCAATCTCTAGTATCGAAATTAAATTTGAAAAGGCGAATCACCTCTAACAATAGCCGTAAAAACATTGATAGTCGCGAAAACCCTAGTTTTGGGCCATTTTCAAAATCGATCTACTTTTTTCTCTATGATATATTTCCGCGATTTTGTTCTTAAAACCTTCCTTGTGCCCTTAACTACAAACTCCAGTACAGGCATCTGATGTTGTCAAGGATTGAAGATTTTTTCTTTACAAAAAATTTTTCGACTAATTTTGGCTATTTTCAAGACTTTCTATGCTCTGTAGCGCCTCTAAGTGGCTATATATTCTATCGAAACAATTTTTTCCTGATTCAGCTTTTTCTAAGCTATCTAAAGAGCCCTCATCAATATGAATCTGTCGACATTGAAAAGTCGAAAATTTATTCTAAGTAAATTTTTTGGTCGAAATAAGCCATTTTCAAAGCTCTGTCACGGCTCATCACATGGCGTTACCCCCTTGACATAATATATAAAAATGATCCTCAGACAATGAAGATTTTAAAAGAGTATCACAGAAAATCCCTCGATGACATTTTTCAAATCGGGAGGGGATCCCTTAAGGGATCCGGAAGAGAGGATCGAAAACGCCGAAACCGCAAGGTAATAATACAAATTTTTGGCTTCATTTTTTGGGGGCCTATCTCCACTCTTAGACCTTGAAAAATTGACTTCAAATTTTGAGAATTGTAAAGGATTGAGACATGTCGAAGAGTTGACCTTTGAATGGACTTCCTTCAGCATCCCAGCCCTAAATGGAAATAAGGAAAATATACAAAGGAAACGAGGGGGGCTTCACCTTTATTTTTCAAGGCTTCTTCTTTTTTCTTTTTGCTTCACCAAAGCAACGTTTTGACACCTGCATTGATTAGGGCGTAAAAATATTTCAGATTCTTGAGTGAAAAAAATTCATTACATTCAGTTTCTGATCAAAATATTCAATTATATTTTCAACCTCCTTGAAGTCCTATTCAAAATCAATTCTCTGGAAACTCCTCAATGTTGTCACACTCACACTTGTTGTTGCATCTGTTTATATGGAGACTCAAACCTTCATTTATTATCTTGAAGGGCAGGGATTGATGTATTCGCCGACCTTCGTTGTGGTCATTTTTCTTGGATATCTGCCGATTATGATCATGATCGTTTTGATGCTAAGAGGATTTGTTTTGGTCAGATATTTCAGACTCTGGAAGACGACGAGCTATTACAAGCTCTATCCGATGCAGATGATAGTTCTCTTAGTAAGCCATAAAAATAAACCAATAAAATCATTCACCCCTTTTTAGATCAACACGATCTTCCACGATCTCCCCGAAATGATCCTGCTCTACTTCTACTACACTCGCTACAAACCTCCATCTTTCGATCTTCGACTGACCGCCCTTGCCAATTCCTTCATATCTCTCTGTGTCGCGCTCATCGGAACCGTGACCCAATCCATCGGTGTTTATCGCTACCAAAAGCTATTCAAAATGGGTCCTTCAAAAATTCTCATCTTCATTTCTGTCCTCCCTGTTATTTTGGTCACTCCTCTTATGAAGGTAAAAAACGACTCAGAAATTGTCACCAAAAAAATTTTAGATATCAGTTCTGCTCTCGACTATTTTCTCCCAAATGGTGACCTACACGACTGGAAACACATATGACATCAAGAAGCATACACTCAACGACATTCAGATTGTCGACGGAAGAACTGTCATGAATATAACAAGTACAGACAATGAGTTTGTGCCCGTTACCTCTGCGATCCAGGGGACAAATATTGCCAAGTACTTTGCGCCAAGAAAATGATTAAAAGAAATATTTTCTCGTAAAAACATTTCATAAAAAAAATTTTGCCAAAAAAAATCATTTCTTGAGACATGCACTTTGCGTAGACACCGAAATCGTCTTCCGAAATGCCTCTTTCGCCCTCAACTCTGAACCCGAACCTTTCAAGTCCGGATGCCTGAATCAACTCGAATGGGTTTTGATCGGAGCAACTCCAGTGCTCATCATGGGGCTGGTGTCATTTATCTTCCTGCTGAGAAAAGCGTGGCCATTTTTGAACATTCCTTGTCTTTGCTGGGGCCTTTGTCCGGCAGATGACAGGAGTTACAAAAGAAGACCAAGTGCTTTTGCCGGGTTGAGTCTTGCGATGGTCAACTTATTCGCGAGAATTCCTGAGCGACTTCAGTAAGATGCACTTTTCGCATCGAAAATCTCACATTTCCCCTTTTCAGAAAACCGAGAGAGAGCTTTATCGGACTCATGCGGCGGAGCACCTTATTTGTTCCTGAAGAAAGTCACGATAACGTCTCCAAAGCCCGGAGATCTACTATTGCTGCGTCAAGACCGACGGTTCTAGAAGCTATCCCGAGCTCTTCGAGTCCAAGAAAGACCGTTGTGGTAGTTTTCAAATTTTTTGAAAAAGATAGAAAAATTTCTAGATAACGGAGACTCTCAAGTCAAACGAAATGCGCCGTCCATCAATTTTGAAGATGAATTCTAGCGCACCGGAGTTGAGCGAAATTCGCAAGAGAAAAAGTGTGCTTTTTGATCTTCAGGAAGCGCCAGAATCTTCCTCAAGCGAAGAAGAAGGTGAGTTTGATTTGAAGCCTAGATTTCTAACTGAAAACATAGAAGAAAACCCGATTTACAAAGCGCTTCGAGAAGAGGACCTCATCGGCTTTGTCGACTCCGACGACGATGTCAAAAACGTCCCGTGCTTTGTAAAAATCGACAAGGAAGAGAAAAAGAAATCGAAAAAAGCGAAAAAGTCGGGAAAGTCGAAAAAGAAATCAAAAGAAGAAATTGTCACTTCTCAACCCGCACCACCCTTGTCCGCTGCAGAACAGAAACTTATTGATGACATTTATAAATAAACAAAGGATATATTCTTCTTTTTTATTCGAAGATGATCAGTAGTAATCAAAGTCGTTGCAGATTGTGTTGATTCCTTTTCGAATCTCGGGGGTTATTTCCGCAGCTTCAAAATACGCCATCATCACTTTAAAATATTTAAAAACAGGGTCAAATGATTGATCTTACTTTGAACGCAATTATCATCAGGGAGCACGAGTTGAGCACGAATCGCAGCAACAAGAAAACTGAGAAAAACTGAGTACATTATTTTCTTTTTAACAATTTTTCTTTTTTTTTTGCTTTTTTATATGTCGAATTTCACTTAGGAAAATTGAAATTGAGATGTCATGAATATTGAAAATGAAGAGATGGAGTGTTGAATCAATTTATTATATACAGTCGACTTGAAACTAAAGTTGGTTCATTTCTTCTTCGGGAGTAAATCGGAATCTTTGGGGGTGAATGTCATCACATGCTCGTAAATAAGCTCTTATTTCAAGGTTTTAAAATCTAAGAGCTCTGAAAAAATTATCTATTTCTGTATTTTTTGAAAACCTTTCCTATCATCGCCTTTCAGAATTCTTCGATCAAGGCACTTCTTAAAATGTTCATTTTTCAAAAAGAAATCGCCCTGATTGTCAATTTTTCTGAAACTTGTCGCCGCCCGCAGTCCGATTTCTTCAGTTCTATTCACAATTTGGAGTCTTATTTGATCCCCAGAAGCGACTTTCGGAAGAACGACAATGTCCAGACCCCCTTTTGAGCCAAAATTGATCAGTTGCCCGTTTGAATTCAGTTCCCAAAGCTGTTCAAGAGGTCTTGTGTACAAGTAAAACCGACATTGCTCCCAAATCAGCTCTCCCACCGAGCTTATCGCCAAGCACCATTCCAAATTCGGCGAATGAAGGAATCCAAACTGCCCTTCAATATCTTCTGGCGGCGAAAATTGTGGAAAAATATTTTCCAAAAACCAATCAAAAGGCTTGCACTTCAAATTTCTTCGCAACTCTTTTCTAGTTTCCAGCGACTTCGAATTTTTAAAAGAGTCCGGGGGAGAAAAATAAGATCTGCGGTAGACTTTTTCTTTGTATTCATCGAGCCAGACTTCAGCAAAGCGAACGAGATTTCGGGTCGGATCTCGGTGGTAAAATGGCTTTTCAGGAAACACGTGGCCTTAATTTTATAGTGATAAGCTCGGCTCGGTAAACTGTGCAGAAAACCTGAGTCAGGGTCTGAAATGAAAAGTGGTCTTTCATTTGAGATATTTTAGACTCTGACTCAGGTTTTCTTCACAGGTTTCCGGGCTTTGATGATAAGAGGGCCCTAGAAAAGAGGTGACGTCAGGAGCCTACAAAAAAATTTCGAAAAATTTTGCGTGGGCGGCTATTCGGCTGCTGATTGGCCGGTAAGCCGAATCAAGGCTTCTGATTGAGTTAAAAGTTCAGGGCAAAATTCTCAAAATTTTTTTGTCGGTTCCCACTATTTTGCCCAAAAACGATGGTTTTCTCACCAATAATCGAGTAGGGAACAATTTCAATGCTCCCTCCGCAAGTCCACGTCCTCACGGACATTTCCACATTTTCCATTCCCCAGATATCCATCTGATCATCGTACCCGCCCAAGTGGTGAAACCAATTTTTCTCAATTGCATAGAGTCCTCCCGCCATCGCTGGCGATTTTATCCCTTCTGTCGTATCAGCTGGATAACCATCTTCGCCAAGTGAATGCCAATTGAATAAGAGTGCTTTGTCGAAGCCGCCAATTTGTGGACGGGAGTAGGGATCGTGGACGAATTCGAATGTTAGTCGGTCGATGCAGGAAATGACTGGGACTGCGATTGAGGTCGGATTTTTGGATTGTTGAAATTAACGGTTCAAGCCAGCCATCGTTACATTCTTTTGAGGGCTTTTCTGGGATATGAATTTTGGATTTTTGAAAAAGGAAAGTCGAGGGAAAAACTCATAATTTTTGATTCTTCGAATGATTTTTAAGAATTTCATTTTCCTTAGCCATCAGGTTGGAACCTATTCGTAATTATGTTTTTCCCTTTGATATATATTTTTTTCCTTCAGGCTTTTTCCTTTTTTCAGTTAAAAAGCAAAATCGATTATGATCTTATTACTCATCAAAATGGAAGAGTTTCAAGAAGATGACATCGATTTTTCGGACATCGGAGAGGTTTTTTTCTAAATTTTTTCAAAGTTTTTTTAAAGATTACTTGAGTCACTATTTACGGATGCTCATATTGTTGATATGGAGATAACAGACTCAAGCACGGCAGATACTGAGGAGATGCGGGAACAAACGGACAATTTCGAAGATTTACACGATTCTGTCGAGAATACTGAAATCAACGAAAACCAAGAATCATGAAAATACTTCCTCTTCCTTCTCTTCCCCTTTTTATCAGAGGATCTGATTTAAACTCACAAAAAATGGGAAAAAAAGAAAAATAAAAAACTCTTACTTTCTTGAAAAAAAAAGCCGAATTAAAAGGCTCTCGTTTATATTGCCCTTTTACTACCACATTGAAGGTCAAAAACAGGCCAAAATGACTTAACATTCTTACGAAAAAATCATTTTCTGTGAACCTCCAACCATCAAAAGAGAAAAGCCCTTGACAATATGCGAGTCCAAAAAGACCAAAACGTCTCCTTTCGCCAGCGATGCCCCGATATTTCTCCCCTTGATCAAGCCAACTCGCTCCTTTAATCGAATCAGTCGGATTGGAATTGCAAAATTGATCTTTTCCTCCATCTCCTTTATTTTCTTATCCAGTCGTTCGCCGAGAAAAGTAAAATCAGAGTCGTCATCGATGAGGATAATTTCTTCCACAAGACCGAAAGGAGCGGTGTGAAGGACTGAAAAGACGGAGCGGAGGAGAGTAGACCACGCTTCGTTGAAGAAATTGAAGATGATGGATGCTTTCTTAGGCGAGGATAAGAAGATGTTCTCATGACTCATTCAAGCTTCAAAATGGGATGGTGTCTGAAACCGACAAAAAAATTTCGACAAAATTTGCGTGGGCGGCTACTCGGCTGCTGATTGGTCGGTTTGCCGAATCCAGGCTTTTGTTTGGTTAAAAATTTCCACGCAAAATTTGTCGGAATTTTTTGTCGGTTCCAGATGTCTACACTTCAAAAATTGGTTTTGGAGAAATTCAGCTGGACATGAAATGAAAAAGCTTTTCTTTTGGCAATACAGTCAGGATGACGATGCTCCCCAACTTTTCGATGAAGACCGATTTTGTCGGAGAGTAAATGATCGATTGTGTATTTTTCTATTATCTCCTAAAAATCTTCTTTTCGGTCTTTTTTTCCTTCCATTTTTCAAACCTGTTGTAAATTTTGAATATCCTTTTTAACCGGAACAAAATGAACCGCTTTCCCATTTGCGCCGAGCCTTTCATTTCCAGTTTCCAATCTTTCCAAAATCACGTCAGTTTTCTTCTTTTCCTCTCTTTTAACTCTTTCTCTTTTTACTTTTTGAATGTGAAAATGGGAAATAAAAACTACGATCAGGGCGATAAAAATGATCCAGAGTTTGTTTTTCATAAGAATTTTGATCATTTCGTCGCTGTTTACTTTTTTCCGAAGCACCGGTTTTTCGAACAAATTGACCGGTAGAAACAATTTTGGACTCAGCGCCGACCAGGATGGAAATATCATCGCGGCGGCGGAGCGGTTTTTTGATCTCTTGAAAAAAAATATAATTTCAAAAACGATTTTTTTTTTATTTTTTCAGCGATTCGTAGAAAGCGATGGTTTCAGCAGAAAGCTCTTCCTTCCACCCCTTTGATTTTCCGGAGCGGAAGACAACGGCTTCTTCGAATTTGATTCCTAGCTTTTCGGCTTCTTTTTCTCGATGTTCTCGTGCTTTTTAATGTCGCTCTAGAAAAAATTGATGAGTCATCATACATGACTATTTCAAATAGTCTATTTGGGTCATAAGTTATGAGTCATAACTTATGAGTCATAAGACTTATGAGTCATAAGACTTATGAGTCATAACTTATGAGTCATAAGTTATGACTCAGAACGCCTCTGAGCTTGGCTCGGTAATCTGTGTTGAAAACCTGAGTCAGGGTCCGAAACTCATTTTAGCTCTTTTAGGCCCTGACTCAGGTTTTTCGCACAATTGCCGATCTCAGCCTCTGACTTAGGGTTCGAGAAAAACTCACCATTTCGACGATTTTCGCCAAGTCGGCATTTTCGATTTCGAGAAATTTCAACAATCGGGAAATTTCTTTCGGTTTGTCAGCAACCACTTCTTTAAATTTGAAAACTAGAAAGAAATTTTCAACCTCATCCCTTTTTTTCGACTTACATTCAATTTTCAACTCAGGATGTTCTTTTGCGAATGCTTTCCATTGCTGATTGTATTCTTCTGGCGTTCCAAAGACTTGTTTTCCTTCGAACATGAATCTGGCAAACGTCTGGAGGTCGTCATAGATTCCGTGCTTTTTCATGTACGGTTCCATGAAGGGGAGTTTCTTGAAGAAATGAAAAGCAGAAACGACTACAGCGGGGGTGTCGCGCTCGATGAAGACGATTTTGCCCTTGTGGCCGAGCGGGAAGTTGCCAGGGTTGACATGGCAGTGAGTCGTGTGGACCAGACCCTTGTGTTCGCGAATGGCGGCGAGTTGGTCGTCAAGAGCAGCGACGTTTGGGCGGAATTCCATCGGATGGAAGGTGTGCTAAATAGGTGGAATGAAAGAAAAATGATGAAGGAATACCTTGTCTTTTGCCACGAGCGTTTCCAATCGGGTGATTCCGATCGCGTCCAAAATCGACATCATCAAATGACTACCAGACTTCGGAAAGCCTAAAAAACAGCATGAATAAGAGCAAAGGGCGTAATTCTTACCGAGGACGGTTACGGCATTTTCCGGAAAGTCCGCATTTCGCAATTTTTCCAAAGTTTCCGGACCAGCCATCGCGGAGGTATAAAACGCCCCATTGTGCTCGATTACTTCCCCTGTTTCCAGCTCCTTTTCGTAAAACTTTTTTCTCGCCTTGAAATCAAAACTCATTTTTTTCGTTATTGTTGAATTTGTCTGCCGAGAAATGGCTCAAGAAATACAGCGTTTTGTTTGTCTGTCAAATAGTTGGAGGAGGTGTGGCGATTTTTCTCGAAGAATGAGACTGTAGTTGATTTAGTAGCTTGAAATCAAACTTGAGTGCTGCTGATAACAAAGATTCGCAAATTTGAAATATCCGCTTTAGATTTTTCTCGAATTTTTCTCAAAAAAGTGGTCAAAATTTGATGATGGTCATAAAAAATTTTGAAAAAGAAAATGTTTGTCATTGTCAGGAAATTTATTTTTGCAAAGATTGATAAAAAGAAATTGTGTCTTCGGAAAGCTCTTTTCTCCAGCCATTCGATTTTCCTGAGCGGAAAATGACGTCTTCTTCGAATTTGATTCCTTGCTCCTTGCTGATGCTTTTTCGGTGTTCTCGAGCTTTTTTGATATCGCTCTTGAAAAAGAATGATTGAAATCAACGAGGAAAATAGGCGATTTGTCTGGAACGAACAAAAATTTCGACGAATTTCGCACAGAAGTTTTCAACCAATAAGAAGCCTGGATTTGGTTTATCGGCCAATCAGGAGCCGAAAAGCCGCCCACGCGAAATTTGTCGAAATTTTTGTCGGTTCCAGATTTCGGCCCGAAAAATATACCTACATTTGCAACAATTTCTGCAAGATCGGCGTTTTCAATTTCGAGAAATTTCAACAATCTCGAGATTTCTTTCGGTTTATCTGCCATTACTTCGCCAAATTTGAAAACTAAAATCTCATTAATTTTCACCAACACTTTTCATTTTACATTCAATCTGAAGCTCCGGATGATCTTCAGCAAACTCCCTCCACTGTTTGTTGTATTCTTCTGACGATCCCCAGTAATGTTTTCCCTCGAACATGAATCTGGCGAATTTCTGTAGGTCCTCGTTGATTCCGTACTTTTTGAGGTACGGGCGCATCGATGGAAGTTTCTTCAGATAATGGTATGCTGAGACGACAACAGCGGGAGTTGCGCGCTCGACGAAGACGATTTTGCCTTTGTGGCCGAGCGGAAAGTTGCTTGGGTAGAGGTGGCAATGATTTGTGTGGACAAGGCCTTCGTATTGACGAATCGCGGCGAGTTGCTGGTCCAAGGAGTTGACGACCTAGTTTAATTGTTGATCACGGTCAGATAAAAAAATTTGTCCGAAAGCGCCCTAATTACGATGTCCTAGGGTGAGGTTCAGGAGGTGTGACCGAATTGGAAAGTTTTTTTGAATAAATGAATGTTGGAATCTTACTGTATCTTTCAGTCCCAGCGTTTCCAGTCGTCTGATCCCAATTGCATCCAAAATCGACATCATCAAGTGACTTCCTGACTTTGGATAGCCTTAAAAATATCTATCAACCATTTCCGCCATCAACTCTTACCAACTACAGTAACGGCGTTTTCAGGAAAAACTATCTTCCTGATCTTTTCCAAGGCCTCCTTGGAAGCGACCAGGGCTCTAAATGGATTAGTCCGGGCTCGGACTTAGTCCGAAGTCCGTCCGGTCTAGTCCGGCCGGACGGACCAGACTTCTGATTTTTGGCTGAGAAAATTTTCGGACTAGACCAGACCAGACTTGGCTTTGTCCCCGGACTTAGTCCGAAAAGTCCGAAAAAGCTGGACCACTTTCAGACTTATGTTTTAGTCCGAAAAGTCCGAGAAGTCCGAGAAAGTCCGAGAAGACTTGACCACTTCCGGACTACTTAGAGACTTATTTTCAGACCAATTAAGTCCGAAAAAGTCCGAAAAGTCTTCATTTTTCTAAGAAAAACTCATTTCTCTCTAGAACCCCCTTATTCTTATGATTTTTTTCTTCAACAATGCATCGTTGGGGGCCCGGACTATGTCGTCGAATGTCGTCGAATGTCGTCAATGTCGTCGAATGTCGTCAATGTCGTCGAATGTCGTCAGATTTTTTTCAAAAACGGAAAAAAAACCAAATACGAAAATTTTACATGATTTTGCTCAATAAATTTTCGAAAAAAGTTCGAATCTTCGTTGTTAAATGACTGATGAGTAAGTTACGATTTTTCTAATTCGAATTTATTTCGAAAATAATACCAAAGTTTTTCTTAATTAAGGACCCCCCCCGTCAGCTTTTTCCTTCGAAATATTGAAATTTTTAAAAACGAGTTTCTGTTGTATTTTATTCAAAAAATTTTCGGACTTTTCCGGACTAGACCAGACCAGACCGGATTTTTCGGCTTTTTTCTCGGACCAGACTTTTTCGGACTTTTTCGGACTTTTCCCGGACTAGACCAGACTTAAAGTCCGGGTTTTCCAATCCGGACCTGGACAGACCAGACTTGTAAATTTCGGCCAAGTGCCCGGACCTGGACAGACCGGACTTTTGATTTTTGCCTCAGATTTAGAGCCCTGGAAGCGACTTGAGAGTTGAGCGGCAAGCAGACTTCAAGAGAATTTTCTAATGACCCCTTTTTGTAAAAAGCGCCATTGTATTCGATGATGTCGCCAGTTTCAAGTTCTTTTTCGTAGAATTTTTTCGTGCGTCGAAATCAAGAGTCGTTGGCTCGTTGTTGTTATCTTTGATTATCATGCTTTTTTCTATCTATTTTTGGTGGTGTCTATCTTTGGGGCTTTCCTTTTGGGGCAAAACAGAAAGCCTGACACTTTTTGAAAGGAAATGACTTATAAAGGACTCTCCACCCACTGCAGCGCCCCTAACATCTGCAATGTGACCTTGGGGAGTGACCTCGAATGAATCCGACGCGTGAGAATCACGCCACTTCGCTGACGATTGAAAAGGTTTTTCCCGGCCACAAAGAATAAACTACGATTTTAATGATTCAAGCATCTGTGCTTTTTGTAATTACGTATTTATGCTCCTGTCTATTTTTCAGCAATATGGAAAATTTCAAAAAAAGCCAAAATTGAGTGTTTCCGAGCTTCATATTGACGTCAAATGATGCGACTATCACGCATTATCCTAGGACCATAGGAATGTTTACAAAACAGGTCTAAATATGCAATCTTTGTGCAGTTCTCAACATTCTTTCCTGCTGACGCAACAGTTTTTTCTTTTTTCACAAACAAAGTTCATTTTTTATTATATCATGTTTATTCATCCGAAGGCAGTTTATTTTTGGTTCCATGGCGGACTGAATTCTTTCTTCAGCGGTTTCTTGTTCAGGCAGAATTCGCTCTTCGTAAAACTTGAAAACCAAATAGGGGCACTTCTGCTTCGCTTCTTCGGCTGTTACGATATCTGCTTGCTCACTGTTGATCCTAAATTCTTACTGAAATGCTAGAGCGAAAAGAATAGCTAACCATTTGATGATGTAATAGAGCTTCTCCTCCCCGGTTCGCTTGCCATTTTCATCAACGATTCTTGACGCGCCAAGAATTCTTTCTGGAACCAATCCTCTTGCGAAGCCCTTTTTCGTTGCTGCTGCGAAAGAAGACGATGCTTTTCCCCTCTTGCCTCTGCCGGTCGATTTGGTGGCTTCATCCGCGGAGTTCTTTTCTAGAAAAAAATTACATCTTGAGCAAAATCAAAATCCGAAAATTACTTTCCCAATCGTCGATGATTCGTCTATCTCGAATGTTTTCTTCTGGTTCCCAAGTATCATCTTCCCTAAAAACGACTTTGTGTGAACGCTAAAACTTAGTACTTACGGCTTGTACCCCTGCCACCGAATGAGGTATTGCATCCTTCCTTCATAAAATCTCTGGCTCAGAATTTTCTCAACAACAAATTCGTCCGAAAGCATCGACTCTTGGGATTCAGTTCCAGACTGAGACATTTTCTCCTTTTCTCACGGATAAGCCGGATCGCTTTGAACGCTTTTCTCTGATACTTCCCATCTAGAGAAAAAATGAGTTCGATTCTTGTCTCGTAGACAGACTCAAAATTCAACAAATAAAAAAATTTATTGATTATTTATTTTAATAAGCGTTTTTAGTAGAAAGATGCAAGTTTGAACTATCAAATAAACTTTGATTCGTGATGTAAGATGCTTTTTCACACGTAAACTCTATTATGTGGCACAGACAAACTTCAAATTATTACAGAAAGAATCAAAGAAAATAAACTTTAAAAAGAGAAGAAAATGGGCACAATGTTTGAGCTGCCATTTTGGAAGCTTCAGCGTTACAGGTTACAAATTTCGGTCAATTTTCTTTCGTGAGAGTTTTTCTCTAGAATCATGATTGGGTTGTTGCCCTTGTTGCCATTTTCAGGTTTTGAGGACTTGGGCCGATTTTGAATTGTCTGTTAGTTCACCTTTGCTGCCTTCTTCAATCGAAAGAGCAGAGTGACCAAACCTGAAATCGTGGTCAAGTCGAAAAGACAACTCGATGAATCGGCAGCCATCCAATCGGGCGATCTATAAAAATATGAAATTATTTTCTTCATTTTATTACCTTGTTGTAACCAGAAACTCCACCAAAAATATGCAGACGACCTTTGATCAGTGCGTGTCTCGAAAAGAGAACGTATTGAGAAACGCTACCGCTGTAATCGAATGGACTGTTGACGAATATTCCTTCGTTTTTCGAACCATCAGGCTTGAATGCGTAGGGTTTGTAATTGCCATCATAATCATGTATAGGGTTTTTCACGGAAAGGCGCGGCGCGGCGGCCATCCACAAAATTTAAAAGTCTTATATTGACGCGAAATTGATAATTCAAATAATGACACCTACTGATTCAAGGTTATTGATTCATAATATGGTATTGAATTTCGTTAAGAATGCAATAATTCGCCGTAAGACATATTTTCTTACTAAAATTTGAGTTTTCTTGCTGAGTACATCAAAATACACTTTCAATTTTCAAATATGTAATATTAATAATAAACGATAATACATTTATCGTTCAGCTCTCAAATTTTGGGAGAGAGGAAACATTCGGAAGGTGTTCAAATCATCATATAAGTGAGTGGAAGTGACGGCGCGCTAGTGCTTTACGCTGCTGCGCGGGATTAAGGGTAGAGTAGGATCCTTGCGCGCGCCCTTTGACGCAATTTCTCATCCTCAGAGAATCTGATGGGATGATTATGCACCAAAATTTCTTTTTGAAAGTTATACTCAAATTTTACAGGCTTTCTTCTCGTATAATTTATTTTAATTAAATTTAAAATCGATCATGATTCGCGAGCGAGGCGGAAATTTGAAAATCTTTTGGCCATTTATTAAAGCCATATGAAAATCCTTTCCAACAGTACCAGTCACAATGACCTGCTTATCATAATCTAGGAGGAGATAGAAAAATAAAGAAAAATATTGAGAGTAAATTGCAGCTCAACAAGATAAGAGAGAAAAAATAAATTATACGAGAAGAAAGCCTGTAAAATTTGAGTATAACTTTCAAAAGAAATTTTGGTGTATAATCATCCCATCAGATTCTCTGAGGATGAGAAATTGCGTTAAAGGGGCGCGCGCAAGGATCCTACTCTACCCTTAAGAACAACCAAATGTACTCATTTTTGGCGTTTTTTGTGATTTTTGCTCTCTAGCGCCAACATAAGGCCGATATTTCTAATGCGGTTATTTTATTCTAATTCAGTGCGTTCTGAGCTTTCGATAGACCCTTTACAGTCAAAACGTCGAAAACTCGGTTCAGAATAACAAAAGTGTCAAAGAGGTCAGTGCTGTCCATCAAAAAGGCCATTTTGAGCTTTGCCCCTTAAAAACAGATTTTTGAGAGGAAAAATTTTTTATCGAAAATCCGCACAATTCCGGAGATTTTGCCATTTTCGCCGAAAAAAGTTCCGGAATTGTGCGTTTTGACTGTATATGTCTTCTTTCGATGACATTGAAAAACCGAAAAAATCCGATTTTCCCGTACAATAAACATGCACTTTGGAAATTTTTGATAGCTAAAATTTCGAGGAAAGATGTTCGTAAAGGGGTCATATAACACATCAAAATGATCCTCAGAACACGAGGAATCTGAAAATATCAAATATAGACCCTTATCGAGTAGTTGAAAAAACAGGGGGATCCCTTAAGGCCCCTTTTAAAATTTCTTATCATCCAAAAAGGGTTTCACTGTATATAACGCTTTCGGTGAAAAACCCTAATCATGTAAAATATTATTTATCTGAGAATCAACTCGAGATTTCAAAATCAAATTTTTGATTTTCGTTTCTTGGTCGAACTTGAAAATTCGCAGTTTTTGCTTTCGGCATTTTCCAGTCCAGTTATTTTTACTTTTGAATTAGCTTCTTTTTCATTGCCCTTTTCATTCAGTTTGATATTTTATTACTTAAAAATTGAGTCAAACAAAATCAATCTTTTCCTGAAATACTTCAAGAAAAGAGCCGTTTGAATTAAAACAAAACACAAAATCTAGTTGCTTCTTTGATTGTTGAATAAAAAACTTGTCAAAAAATCGGATTCTATCCAAAACGAGTCATTTTTGAAAGTCGAAGGCGCAAAAGAGTCATTTCGTCAAAAAATTTGAATTGAAGAATTTTCGTTTCTTTCAAAAAGCCAGTTCCAACATCGATTTCGAGTTGAAATTTCTTTGTTCCATTGAGTTCCAGTTCAACAGTTGAAATATGCGTCAGTTCTTTGAGCGAAGTAAAGAATTCATCCGGAACTATTGTTTTGTGGTACAAGCTTGGCTGAGGAAATCGTGGCTGGGAAACGGCATTTTTTGAAAAAGCAGGAAAACCGTCGTCGTGGAAGGCGAAAAAGGGATTGCTTGTCACGTGAATTTTCTGCTGAGCTTTCTGTTGCACGAACTCGATCTCGATTTTTTCTTAGTAGATAAGCAAAACTGCTTTACGTAAGAAACAACGCGTATAAACGCATTTATAGTTTTGTTTATCCTTTCCGAAGTCAAATTCGATCTCAAATAAAGTGTCAAACACATAACTTTGGAGAAAAATTCTCTCGTCATTTATTATTCCATTTACAAAGTACTCGCATTCATCATTAATCACCTCGCCTTGATCAGTGTAAGACGGATCATTCGGAGCAAATAATTTCGAAAAACAAATTGATTTTTCTTCATATTTGACCAGAGAGCCGATCCATTCGCTCCCAAGAGTGATAAACTTCCCCTCCGCCTCCAACAACAACGAGTACAATGTGTTTGAAAGAACAACACTCCTCGTCACCAAAATAAGGAGCAGTCTTCCCAGATCCATCTTTATTAAGTTGTAAAAAGTAAAAATTATCTTACTAAAAATATTTTCAACTTCTGTCAAAGGGACGACGTGAACAGGATCAAGGTCTCTCAAAACAGCCGGAAGCTGAATTTCATTTTTTCTCCAGCCCTTTTCAAGTTCTTCGTTTATTTGGATTCTGTTCAAAGCCAAAGTTGTTGAGAGTTTGATGTTATAATCTCCCATTTTCACGCTCATCAGATAAAATACTCCCTTGAAGCTGGTTGAAGAGACTTTCGCATTGAAATGGTTACTAGCAATGTACCCTTGTGCCTCTTCAAAACGGTTCAAATTGTAATCGGGGGCATAGTAGTAGCATTTGTCGGATTTGCTAGTTGGAGAACTTTTAAGGGTCAGAAAGGTTTAGTTTAATTTCATTTCATTCTTTTTGACCATTTGCAGACGACAACAACTGGAAAAACCTTCGTTCCCTTCTCTTCAAAACGAATCTCGATATGATGAGTTCCAATAGAGGAGCCAAAGTGAAACACGAAAAATCCTCTAAAAATGCAAGATAAATGCAACAAAAAAAAACACCCTTACATTTGACTATGTCCATTCTTAACTAAAATAGGATGATCACCATCACTCTCCTTCACTCTCATAAGATTTCCAATTGCATCGACCAAGTAATGCTCGCCATTGAGAAAAGTCGCACCAATTGACTAACGCGTTTTTTTATTTACTTGAGGGTCAAGCACTGCTAATTTAAATTATTTAAAAAACGTTCATAAGTTAAAAACTTAGATGAACCATCAGATACTGAAGAAGCCGAACTATATATTTGTCTATCAGTTCCACTGTAATCGGAAAAAATGAATTTTCGAAATTTGCGTTTTTCAAGTTTTCGCTCATCCCAACGGGCAATTATGGTGTTGTTGTTAGGAATTGATTCGCCCATTGATTCCGTTGAGTTTGATTTTAAATCAAAAACCGGAATCATTTTCTGTCTTGAATCGACTTTCTCACACTCGTAAAACGGACATGGGCATCCACTTCTGCAATATTTCTGAGAAGGACAAATCTCTCCAGCTGCGTCCGAAGATTGAGTCAGTTCGAAGCAAATTGATTCACAGGGCGAGATTGACTTAGTCCTCATTGATTCCAATACAAGCGTATTCGAGCAGAGATGGCGGCAGATATTCTGGTCGTAAAACTGTTTCTTTTGACAGCGGCGCAGATTCACTTCGTTTTCTTCTTCCGAGAAAACAAGAGGTTCAGATTTTGGCTTTTCGATTTTAGAAACAGGTTCAGGAAGAATGAACTCCTTGGTCTCGAAGCATTGCTTCATCAAATGGCCGCAGATATCCATTTCAGCAATTTTGACGCATTCTCTGTAGTTTCGATTACAGCTTGAAGTCAGAAAAGTTGTTACGCCCCGGGATTTTTCCAAGGAGGCGACATTCGCTAATTTCAGAGAAATTTCATTTTGAAAATCATTTAAAAAGTACCTAAGAGGATAATTGTTCCCCAAAAGAGAGTGCCAAGAGAAAGATAGCTGTATTGCTGCGGATCTGTGGCATTTCCGTGTTTTGCCAGGCTCATTTTCGCGGTGACCTTTTTCTTCCATGTTTTCTTCTTTTTCAATTTTCTGATGTCGTATTCTTGAGTGCGAATGCTTCGAGTGGTCAACACTTCTTCGGGCAGCAGATACACTTTCTTGCCTTTCAGTCTCAGAACGCCTATGCAGTCGCAATCCAGACACTTTTTATAAAGAGAACTTTATTATCTGATTCATCGTTTTTGAAATTACCCGGACTTTTGTTTGAAAAAGTGCAGTTCTTATCTTTTCGTTTTCTTCTTCGATCGCCATGGCGAGTGCTCTCTGGAAAAAAAACAACGATTCTGAAGATAGAAAAGGTGAAAAGCCGGTTTGTGGGACTCCTCGGCACGACTTCCTCGACAGCGCAGTCTCCGATCTTCCTCTTTTTGAGTGTCGCTTCCTCTGCTTCACCTTTACCAGCGCTGACAACAAAGCTAGTGGGACTACGAGTGTCTGGAAGGGATTTTTTGAACTTCATTCGAACAAAAAAAATAACCGGTAGACTACGTCTTTATAAATAATTAATAACAGGTTCCCAAAAATATGAAGAATGTCACATTCTGAATGTGGGTATCATTGAGGGATTTTTTAAGTAACATGTACACTCGTGTGAGGAGTTTCCGCACCCCTAGACAGCGGGTAAAGGGCGCGGAAACGCAGCACTCATTTTTGCCACTTCTAGAAGAAAACAATAGAAAAAGTGCGGGTCAGGGGTGCGGAAACGCAGCACTCACAAAGGGTGCGGAAACTCCTCACAGTGTGAGGCTCACACCACTGTAAGATGAATGAGATTATTTATCTCAGACAGAAGACTTGATCAAGTTAAAATTCCTTATCGCTAGTAGAAAGTCCAAGCATGAAAAATGTAAAGCGGCAAAGCTTCTCAGAGGTAGAATCAAGCGTTTTCTGCTCGAGAGCGCTCCAGCTGGCCGCTTTGAGAAAAACTTGTTTTCAAGAATCGGCTTGTATGCCGACTGCTTGTCTGATACTTGGACACCTATAACTTATAACTTATAAGTTATAAGTTATAAGTTATAAGTGTCCATCCATTTTCCGTCAATTCCTCAACTGCTCCTCCTGCATACCATCCTCCGATTGCAATCAAGCGTCCATTGTACAAGGCCAATTCTCCATACTTGTGTTCAAAATTCATTTCTTCTTTACTTTCTACTGTAAACTCATCAAATGACTGACATTTGTACCGATCCGATTCAGCAAAACAAATAATCACTGAAAATAATTTTTTAACATTTTTCTTTTCAAATTTACTCGCAACTGAATTTTTGAAGTATTTTTTTAAGTTTTTTAATAAAAAAGTAAAATAAAATTCACCTTTGCTGTTTTTCGGTCTAACTTGAAAATTCGGACTTTTTTGCTTTCGACATTTTTCAGCCCGGTTAGCTTTTTAAAGAGCCTCTTTAAAAAGGTTTACCACACAGGTTGCCGAGCCCAGAATTTCATCCACGTTTTAATTATCAAATAAACTAAGATCTGTTATGTAAGATGCCGTTTTCACACATAAACTCCATTATGTGGCACAGACAAACTTCAAGCAAAAATACAATCAGAAGAAGAATAAAGAATCCAAAAGAATAAAAATCATAAAGAGAAGAAAATGGGTACAATGTTTGAGCTGCCATTTTGGAAGCTGCAGCGTTACAGGTAACAAATTTCGGTCGAATTTTTTCATTACAGATTTTTCTCTAGAATCATGATTTTGACAATCTTTATGAATATCACGGGATACATGATTCGCTTCGCCATCGACGTGGCGATTCTAGACATGGTCGATGATCAGAAACGTCATCATCAAAATTCCTCCAGCTGTTCCAATTCTTCCCTGTTTTCTCCAATCAGCGAGGGGCAATTTCCTCTCGGCAAAAACCATTCTTCGCCAAAATACCACTGGACGGAGGAGCAACAAAGCATGATCATCGAAGTCTTTTTCTACGGATACACCCTTTCTGTCGGCATCGGAGGCTTGTTCGCGGATGTTCTCGGCGCAAGATTTTTGGTTGGATGCAGCGTTTTGCTTTCCGGCCTCTTGGGCATCTTTTATGAGCTTTTTGCTAGCTGGGGATTCGAGTGGCTCTGCGTTTTGAGATTTTTTCAGGGACTGCTTCAAGCTGGAATGTTTCCACCGCAAACATCGATGTGGGGCCGCTGGGCTCCAGAAAACGAGCGAACAATCATCGTTGGCGGTTCCAATGCTGCTGCTATTTTCGGCGTCTCCATGTCGAATATCCTGACTTCTGCGATTTGCGAAAGCCTCGGCTGGCCCTATGCTTTTTACATTTTCGGGAGCTTTGGGGTTCTTTTCGGATCAATTTGGATTCTTTACTTTCGAAATACACCCGAAGAAATGCCCTGGTGCCAAATTGAAGAAAAAGAGTACATCAAAGCGAATACGACGGCCTCCGCAAGAATCGAAATCAAGGAAATACCGTTCAAGAAGATTTTTTCTTCGTTTGTTTTCTGGGTCGCTTGCATAGCAAATTTGGCGAATTCGATCATTTTCTTTACGATAACAGACAAACTACCAGAATACCTTCAGGTAAAGACCTTTTCAATCACTCTAGAATTTCTCTTCTAGAAAGTTCACCACTACAACCTCCTCGCCGACGGTTTTCTCAGCGCCCTTCCCTTCATTTGCTACCTGGTTGTTACTTTCGTTTCGTCAGCTCTCCTCGATTTCGCTCGATCGAAAAACATTCTGAGCATCACAAATTTAAGAAAAATAGCAGCGATTTTGGCACTCGTTCCTGCGGGCATTTGCTTTTTCGTCATCTCGCCAATGGGTTGTGATTCCGGGGCGATCGTTGCGCTTATGTGCGTGATAATGGGATTCAATGGGTTTTCCACGACCTCGTTTTTGCCCTCCTTGATTGATATGTCGCCTAGCTATGCGGGTAATTAAAAGATATTGGGCTCTAAGCTCGGCAACCTGAGACTCAGGTCCTTAGTAAAAAACCTGATTCAGGGTTCTAAAAGAGTAAAATGAAAAGCCGCGTAGTGGCTTTTTTTCAAAAACGAAGCCGCAAAGCGGCTTCGCCAAAGTTACCAACTCTATGAATTATTTTAACTAGCGTTTAAAGAAAAAGCCGCTACGCGGCTTTTCGCCTTACTCTTTTAGCACCCTGACTCAGGTTTTTTACTTAGGCTGCTATGTCCAATTCGGGTTTTTTTAGGTCTTCACTAATCCATATTCAGGTATTCTTCATGGCATCCAAGACACATGCTTTTCCGCGTTTGGTTTTATCACCCCGATTTTCATCCAAAAATGCGTCGGAGAAAACCCTTACCTCATTTCGTCCTGGAATACGGTCTGGATCATTAATGGAGCTCTCGCCTTTGTGTCTGCTGTCTTTTACGGGGCTTTCGCGACAAGTGAGAGGCAAGATTGGGACTTGAAAAAGGAGGAAAAGATGGCGTACGCAATCGGACTTTCGAAGACATAGAAGACAATAATGAAAAATTTAATTCTCTTACTGAATAATAAATAAAAATTAAGTGTATTTTTTCATTACGAGCTGATTTGTCAAAATTTCAAGCCGATTTTTTTGCCAATTTTTTTATTTATTTTCGCTGACTGATTTTTTCAACCCTAAAATATTTGTTTTCGATCTAGTTCCCCTTAAAAGAAATCTGTAAAATACTGTTTTAAAATGGCTGCGCCGCGGGGAAATTTTTTATCATGATACGAGAGTCGAATACCGAAAACCCGCCGACATAATTTTTTATAAATAAAGAGAGAGATGCTCGCAAAGTTATTTTTGAAAGAACACTTGTAACTGCCCAGTTTAAAAGAGAATTTGAGCGAGATTATGTCGTCGATTTTCCAGTGAGGGATTCTAGTGATTTAATATGTTTTTCTAGAAAAAATGAAAAAGAAGGAGAGATTAAAACTGAGGTCATGACTTTGGATCAACGATGTGATGAAGCCCTCGCCATTCTTGATCAGGTTCAGGGCTCATTGCCGGTTTTGCAACAAGTTTTTGATGAGAACAAGTATGTTTAATTTAAGACTTGAAAAATAAAAATGATTTAAGACTTCTTCGATTGCAGCTGAAGGAGAAACAAGCTGAGATCGAACGGCTGCGTGGAAAAATCAGGCGACTCGAAAACGCCCAGTAAGAATTGCATATTTTTCATCCCGCGATTTTTTCGGGGGTTTTTATTTCATGTTATTTCAGAATCAGCATCAGTGATGACAGCGAGTGACGCCTCATGCCGCTCTTTGCCAGCTCAATCATGCTGTTCACCATTCACAACCATATCGCTGGGGGAAACGCTCGCCTAAATTACCAATTGGTAATGCATTACCAATTTTGGTAATCCATTACCAATTTTTGGTAATGCATTACCAAATTTCCCGAAAAAGGCCAATTTCGTTTAGTCAAAGAGCCTGTGTGCGCTCCGCGCCTGTGTGATAGGATACGTTTAGAAGTGATTTACTCATTTCTTGGACAAAAAATCAGAATTTCTGAAAAAAATTTGGTAATGGATTACCAATTTTTGGTAATGCATTACCAAAAATCTTTGGTAATTTAAACGAGCGTCCCCGATCGCTGGCGTTCTCTTTCATGTCTCCATCACCACCTCCGACCCTCTCTTTTTGGAGAATTTCGACTCATGTAATAAAAATCTCTTGACTTATTATTGGGTTTTTTCAGCACGCAATCTTAAAATTCTTCATAGCATTCAGGACGCATGCTTTTCCGCGTTTGGTTTTATCACCCCAATTTTCATCCAAAAATGGAAGCGAATTTTCTTTTGGGACAAAATCTAGAATCAAGTTTCTAGAACAAAAAGAGCTTCAGTTTGTGGCAAACGCTAAGTTTCGAAAAAAAAAATTTTTGCTTGTACTTTTTTCGATTCGAAAAATTTCATTTTTATCGGTTCTTTTTTAGTCAAAAATGGTTCTAAAACGCTTTTTATTTCTAGTTTGACTTCAAGAAAATAGATGGGAGTCGAGTTTTCTTCATCGAAAATTCAATAAATCGTTAAATTTTAAAACGAAACTAAATCTCGACAGGAACAAACATAATCAGCTGTTTTGTTCAAGTATTTTTTTTTGTTCTAGAATCGAGTTTGTTGAACAGAAAACAAGCTGATTACATGTATGTTACCGTCTTGAGCGGATTTCGAGTAAAATTCTACGATTTTTCAAAAATTTCGATCCGAGAAATTTGATTCCTATCGATTTTCTTGAAGTCAAACTAAATATATTAAACCTTATTGAATTGTTTTTGACTGAAAAAGAATCGATAAAGATGAAATTCTTCGAATCTGCCATTCAAATCGCTGATCTCCCGAATAACGAGTCGAAAAAGTGCTCAACGGAAAATTCATTTTCAATAAAGCGCTAGCGGAATTCTAGCGGCGCGATAAGCGCTCTGAGCGGGTTCTGAATGCGCGGTGTACCAGAATGTCTGAGCGTGGTCGAATCGTACCGCGCTTTTCCGCCCTTGGGCAATTTCTGCAGCTCATGAAAACGCACTACCGCGCACTATGCTGCACAACGTATCTGACACAAATTGGCCCTTTGTTATGAAAACTTTTCTTTCTCCTAAATCAACACTTTTTTGATTTCTCAGAAGTGGAAGTCTCGAAAATAAAAAGGGTAGAGAAAGAAAGGGTTGAAGACGGAAGATGAGGCTCGTGCAAATTGCGACGCTCCAAGGAAGGGAATTCAATATATAATGCAACGGGAGCCGGGCGAAAATTGACCTTTTTCGAGGGAAAGAGCCTTAATTCGAAAAGTTTGAAGGAAGAAAATAAGCGGTTTTAGCGCTTGAAAACCATGGATCACAGCGTAAAACCGGATTTTCGAGCTTTTTTTCTTGTAAAAATTAACCAGAAAAATAAAAATAAGGAGAGTTTTTATTAAGAAAAATTTTTTTATCATAAAAATTGCTCTTTGCTGCGAAAATTGTCGGATTTGATAGAATTCCTTGCTTTTTTTTTCCAAAAAATGATTCCCAAAAACAGTCATCGCAGCCCAATTCCGAAGCTTTTCTGGCTTCGGAAATGCTGCCGATCAAAGTCGACCAGAAGACCCTGGTGTTGTCCGAATGGACTTGCCGCTTAATCGAAGATACAAATATGCATTTACTGGCGCAGCGAACCCAAAGCTCAGGATTCGTAAGTAACAAGCAATTTGTCCCCAGCGGCGGAATGTTGAAAATTATTTGACCCGGAAATGCTCTTTCTCAGGCTGCTTTTCTTGTTGATAAGTTGTTTTTTAGCTGAGGGAATAACTGGTTCCTGTAACGAAGAAATCGACCTGTCCTTCGTCATCTCCGGGAATGGGAAACTCGCATCGCCGGGCTTCGAAGCCGGATTTTATCCAAACAATACGGATTGCTCCTACGTCGTCAAGGCTGGAAATAGCTCTGTTCTCGAGGTATGATTTGATGAGCCAGAAATAGCCCTCTTTTTGAAGAATTTATTTTTATCTTTTTTTTTATCTAGTTCAGCCTTTTATCAAATGATTTTCGCGAAAAATTTCAAGATAAAACGAAAATTTTCATTAAAAAAATGCAAAAAATTTCAAAAAAAAAAATCGAAAATTTACAAAAAAAAATCGAAAATAAGCAAAAAATTCCTAAAATTCAAAAAATTACAAACAAATTAGAAAAAAAATAAAATCTCTTTTCTAGCTTTCTTTTCTATACATGGACATGGAACCCGGCCCACCCGCGTGCCCTTTCGACTTCCTCGAAGTCCTCGACAGTGACTCATCAAATATCATCGGCGGCAACCGATTCTGCGGCCGCAATACTCCGGGAAAAATCATATCCAAAAGCGGCACTCTTCGACTTCGCTTCAAAACCGACGGTTCCGACACCGGAGTCGGCTTTGCTGTCCAATACAATGTTGAGCCGATTGAGTTCAAGAAGATTTTCAATTGCAACTTTGAAGATGGCTGGTGCGGGATGGAGTATTCGGCGAATGAGGGAGAGGAGGAGGAGAAATTGCAGTTTGCGCCGTTTGATGCAAATAGTCTTTCGTTAATTAGCGGCAGATCTGGCACTGTAAGAACAGGTAAAGAATATGATAAGATTCGAGACGAAAAATTGGGGGTGGCGATTAGAATCGACTAAAAATTGCGACAAAAAAATTAGCGGCGACAATTTTGGAAGGTACCAGGAAGGGACAAAAAATTTCGACAAATTTGCGTGGAAATTTTCAACCAATCAGTAGCCTTAATTCAGCAAGCCGGCTTATAAATAGCCGCCCACGCAAATTTTGTCGATTTTTTTTTGTCGGTTCAAGATTGGTTTTCAGGCAAAATGCTTATATCTGATTGGTTCAATATTCTACCAAAAATTTCGGAGAAAATTGTCGCAGTTTTTTCTTGTCGATTCGAATCTTTCAAACATAAAAATCAATTTTCAGGCGCGACATTTGACCATTCTTTGAAATCCCCACGCGGTCAATATCTTCTCTACGAAAGCACCGGAACCAAACAAGGCGACAAAAGAACCATCAAAACTCCCATTATCTCGATCAGAACCAAACAGAAAGAAACCACCTTCTGCTTTACCTTCTGGGCGACAATGAAAGGCGACAAAATGGGAAAAGTCGAAGTCAAAGCTCTTTACTACGATCGCCAAGGAAATCCAAAATCTTCAAAAGTTCTCGGCGATGTGAACGGAGAGCAGGTGAGTCATGGAAAAGACGGTATGGAAATCTAATTTTCCATATTCAGAACGCAAATTGCTGGGGACAGGGTTGCAAGAAAGGCGACGATTGGACGTACCAGAGGTTCACCGGGCCGCTCTGGGAAGAAAATGTCGCCATTGAGATGACATTCATTTCTGGGGGTCCTTCCTACTCAGGTTTGTTCCTCGGAGATATTCCTCCTTGATTCCTTCTCTTCAGACATTGCCATTGACGACATCATGATGGACGGAAACGATTGCCCGACCGATTCAAACACCAAATGTCGCTATCCAGTCAAACCATACAAGAAATTCAACTACAAAGACATTATCACCGGAAAATGGCGCTGCAAGAATCCAAAAACCGACACGGTCAGAACCTTGTTTTTCTCATTTATCTCAATTTTTTCCTAGAACTTCAACATGACAAACATTAACCAGGAGTTTCCGCAAGGAACTGAATGCAAACTCCGATGCAACAATTGGAGAGAAATGGCTGATCCAATCGAACACGGGAAAATTTACTGCGGACGGAGAGGATGGCACAGGTAAAGAGGTCAAAGAAACCGGACATTTTTGAACAGCAATTTTCAGCATCAAAACAGGAGAAGCAATCCTGAACGAATTGCCAGCCGTCCCAGGAGAAATGCCAAACGGATCAAAGAAAAACCCCGATGTTTTCAACTTGATGCCAGTTTGCCGAATTTCTCGATGCGATCTTCAAATGATGCCTCCCAACGCCGAGTTTTTCGCCTGCAATCATCCCGAAACACTCGACTATTTGCCGCTCGATTCCCTTTGCGAGCTGCGCTGCTTGCCGGGGTACAGAAGGGATGGACCGCAGTTTTCGAAATGCAGTCCGGGAGGATACATGGCCGGCAGAGCCACTTGCGTGAAAATTGGAGAAGATGATTTCACCGAAGTCGAAAGAGCGAGACTCATCCCCGACACGGTTTGATTTTCCTTATTTTGATGATTTTAAAACTCGTTTTAGGTTCAGAAAGTGTTCTTTGAACCAAAAGAGCCGCAGCGAATCATCGGCGTTCCCTTCACCGGCGAAGCAAAAGCTCTGCCCGGTCGCCCTAAACAAACTACTCCAGCACCTCCAAAAATCGCCACAACAAAGCCGACAACAAAGACAACAACGAAAGCACCAGTTCAAACAACAAAACAACCAGCTATCACGACAAAATCAACAACGACGACGAAAATGTCCATTCCACAAAATGCCTTTGAGAATATTCTTCCGCAGCCAAAACAAACACCAGCACCAGTTGAGCTCGCAGCCCCGACTCCAGCTACCCATGTTGGTCCACTAGAACAACTAGCCGTCAATTCTCAGTCAACAAAAGCTACAACAAGGCCGACAATGCCACCGAAAGCAACCGAAGCTCCTGATTTTTTCAAACCAGAAGGTAAGCCTAGCATTTTCGTCCTCGTTTTCGACCAAAATTTTCAGGCGAAGCAACAACCACAAATCAGCCAACAACAACGAGTACAGAAAAGACCAAGAAGCCCAAGAAGGACAAAAAGAAGGAAGGTCCTTCATCATCATCATTCACTTACCTTAGCAGTGTTTTATTAATAATTCTTCTCTTTTGATACTGTACAAAAAACGCGAGTTGCGACAATAGCATTTTAAAAATTACCTCGAAAATAAATTATTATCTTATTTTTTCGTTCCATCGATCATTGATTGAAGCAACCGTGTAATGAGGAGGTCAATAAGGCGCCGTTCGTTTATGATGACTTAAGGATATAGGCTATATCATATAGCCGTTCTCAAGGCACTTTCGTAGCGCCAAAAGGGGACGATAAATTTTTTTCATTTCAAAAGGAACCCTACCTAAAATTGCCTAAGAAACCCGATTCTAGTGTTCTTTATAATTTTTTAATGGAAAAATTTCTCTCTAGAGCAATTTTAAATCTTACGATCACTTTTTCTCGAGAATTTTCCATTAAATCGGTCGAGTTTTTTTGATAAATTAAAAATTTGGACCTTTCTCTACATTCCTAGGGCTTTAAGTTTAATAGATTCAAATTATTTATGGTTCTAGAGCCATTTTTATGAGGCTCACTTGAGTAAGCCGAAGCGTCAGACAGCGCTCTGGTTTGCTGCGCTGGGCGCCCTCCTCCATCGCGCGGTGAGGCGCGCATGTGAAAGAGCGCGCTGATTGGCCGAGCGCCCTGAACGCAGCATTTATGAAAAAGAAAAGCCAAAAAGAAGAAGACGCTAGAATGAAAATTTGCTCGGGTTTTGAAATTTAGAGGCCCTAAGAAGCTTGATTAGCAGTTATTTATAATAAAACACGGTTTAGTTTTAGCAATTTAATTGAAAAATTTCGAGAAAAAATGATCGTAAGATTTCAAATCGCTCCAGAGAGAAATTTTCTTTGAAAAAAATTTTAAAAAACATCAGAATCGAATTCTAAACATAATTTTAGGTAGGACCTGTCTTGAAATGAAAAAATTTTATCGCTCCATTTCGACGCTACGAAAGTGCCTTGAGAACGGCTATATCCTTAAATCAAGCGATTTAGAGTAGGGCTCGCCAAAAAAAAGTCGATGTCTATTCTCCCCTACGAATTGCACCTTAAAATGATCCCCGTTCTTTCCTGATTCGAATGATATGTCTCTGTCAGGCGTAAGCCTTGGGGAAAAAATTCTAGAGCTAGGCCCAAAATCCTGTTTTTGAGACTTCGATCACGTGCCATGACGTCATTTCTCCGGAAATTTCAATATTTTTTGAATTTTTCGAGCATAACTTTTTATGCTCTTTTGAATAAGCTACTAGTTTTGGGTTTTAGGACATGGGGAATCCGAAAAACATACTCGTTCGCGACTTCAAAATTTCATGGCGAGCCCTAATTTAGAGTCAATTCGGCTATGAAAAAAAATGTTGAATTGGGAAAAATTCCAATTTACTTCCTGTTTGAAACGTATATATGCGGAAGTAAAAAGCTCCAAATCCCACTTTGAAAAGAGTATTTTTTCGATGGTACAACTCAAGATCGGAATTATCATGGGCTCTGTCCGAGAGGGCCGCATGAATGCCCGAGTCGCTGATTGGGTCGAATCCGAGGCGAAAAAGAAGTTTGGAGAATCGGCGTTGATTGAGGTAAAAAAGAGCTAGAATTTGATAAAAATGAAGAAAAAAGGTAATCGACTTGGAAGATTACAACTTGTCGGGGATCAGACAACCCATTCATTTCATGGCGGACTCGTCGCTCGCACCAGCGGATCTCAAGAAAGCGGAAGCGAAAGTGAAAGAACTCGACTGCTTCATCTTTGTGACGCCAGAATACAACTTGAAGTAGAAGACATTTTTTGACTTTTTTCTAACCGTTTTCAGCATTCCCCCCGCGTTGAAAAAGTTCATCGATCTTCTCCCTCCTCCAATTTGGTGGTGGAAATCTGCCGCCATCATCAGCTATTCCATGGGCCGTTTTGGCGGAAACATCGTCCCGCACTCCCTCCGCCAGACTTTTTGCGAGATCGGACTCATTCCTGTCACCAAACCAATGTCGATTCCGTTTGTTCACGAAGAAATCGACGAGAACGGAGCTCTAGTCGGACAGGGAGCTGAGGGCTTTCAAGCTGAAATTGAAAAAACTCTTGATGTTTTTGAATTTTACGCGACTGCGATCAAGGAGAAGAGAGAAAATGGACCTGTTCCGAAGAATATGTAAAATTACATTCATCATGTGCACTTTTGATTAAAAATTATAAATCTCAATTATAATGATTTTATTTGGCATGACTTATGAGGATACTCATCCGCCTATACAAAAAGAGAATATCTTAGATGTCTCGGCCTCCTGATCGAAAATAAAAGCCCAATTTGTCCATTTTTTCCAAAAATTATGGTCTGTCCAAAAATTATCGTAAAAGCGAATTCTGTTTTTTTTCTTCAAAGCTCGTTATTCATTGATTTTTCTTATCCATCAAATCGAAAAAATTTCTCAAATTAAAATTCATTCATGCGAATTGATAATTGGGCAGGTGATTATTACCAAAAAGAGTCAGCGGGGAGAAAGGGCTGATTTTCCGTGAAATTTGTGACGTTAGCGACATGACCCGGCGGTCGCCACCCTTTTTTCTTGAAATCGATCTTCAGCTTTTCTTCTTCCAAAACCTTCCAATTCTCGAAATCCAATTATTCGGATTGATGAGGTTATCGCAGATTTTCACCCGTTACCTTTCGAAAAAATAAGCCATCGCTCTAAAAAATTAAGAACCGTTGAAAAAAGCTTATCATTCTAAGAAAATAAACTCATTATTGATTCATACTCTGATTTTAAAGACGAAAACATAAGGAGAAAGAATTAATTTTAAATAATTAAAAATTAATATGAAAATGCTAAAAAATATAGTTGTTTTAAAATTAATATTCAGATATTTTATTGATAAGAGTAAAATAAAAACTGAATTAGTATTTTGTAAACTTCAGTGTTAATTCAGTTTTTATATTATTTCTATATAAATTATATAATCAATATTTATTTATTAATTTAAGTTCATTTCCAGTCATGAGATACATAGACTCATGATGTTAAAAGTAGTTTGAAATAAAATTTTTGAGAAAAACGATCATTCTTTCTGATTTTTTATATAAAATTATGACAAGGACACCCTTATTTCCGAAAAATAAAATAAAATATAAGAAATTAAAGGAAATAATACAGTATAATCTTTACAGTGCAAGTTATACTGTATTATTTCTTTTAATTGCTGATCTATATTTTATTCGGAAATAAGGGTATCCTCGTCATAATTTTTAAAAAATCAGGAAGAATGATCGTTTTTCTTCATAATTTTCAAATTTCTTTTAACATCATGAATCTATGAATCTCATGACAGGAAATGACCTCTAAAAGCCTCGATTTCCTCGCCTGCAAAAAGTTGCGTCATTGATATTCTTCGGTGGACTGAGGTTTGCAAAAAGATTCGGAAAGCCTCGCTGCGCAAAAACTCGCCGCCGCACGTGGCGGTCAGGCGCCTGCCACCGCCGGTTTCAACGATTTCATGAAAAACTTGAATTTAAAAATTTAAAATCAAAAGATAATTTTTCGAAAAATATCTTTTGAAAAGCTGAGAGAAAAAGGGAAGAAACAGGCTGAGCAATTTTAGCAGCAGTTTGTCTTGAGAAAAATTAAGATTAAAAGAAAAATAAGAAAAGTGAGAAGGAAGTTTTCCAGTCTCATGGTCAAGAATCTTTCCTGTCTCTTGGCAGTCCATGCCTTGCCAAACTCAAAAGGTACGTTTTTAGGGGTGTCGTCAGGAAACCGACAAAAACCGACAAATTTTGCATGGGCGGCAACTCAGCCTCTTATTGACCAGTATGCAAAATCAAGGTTGGTGATTGGTTGAAAATTTCAACAAAAAATTTGTCGAATTTTTGTCGCTTTTTGACACCTCCCGGTTTGTTAGATCAAAAATGCTTTAGGGGCCCTATAAGTTTTCTTTACTCGGCATTTTCAAATTTAGTTATCATTTTTGAAGACCTCAGATAAACAGAAAAAATGGAATAAATCATTTATTAGGATATGTTTTCTTTGATTTCAATAAAAAATAAAATTCAAAAAAATTAGATAAAAACCGTAATCGCGGAGAAAAACGAACAGCCCCGTTATTTTTCTGAAAGATGTAGATTGAAGTTTAGATTTCAAGTCTAGTTTTTGTATCCCATTCTTTAGGACACCCTTAAGAAATTCTATTTCAGTATTTTTGAGCCCAAGAAATGCTTATCAGCAAAAATAAAGAGGAAAACTTCAATGCCCCAAATTTTTGCAGATTTTTCGGAAAATAAAGAAATGTGAGAAAAGGCGGAATAATTAGAGTTTTTCGCTGTTGAGTTAATTTGCTTCAGATTGTCCTGAATTTTGGCATTTAAACGCAGCCACGAACGAGTGCGAGCTGCCCAATCATCTTGTTGATGTTCAATGTCACCAAGGAAAATGGCAAAAAAATGATTTTTAAAAATAATTTTTTAAAAATAAGACCGGAATTGAAGCCATTCAAAGACGGCGTAAAAATCCTCTTTTCCGAAGAAATCGACCTTTCAGAAACTTCTATTGACGGGTAATCCAATTATTTTCCTCCTTGATTTCAATCCTCTAATTTCAGCTGCCACGAATCCCATTATTCGAGAAATCCTGATTCGAATGAAATCTGGGTTGATTTCTCGAAATGCGCGAAACCTGAGTTTTTATCTGACAGAGTCATTGTCCAAAACAGGATATTTTTTGGTGAAGAGCATGTTTTGCCTGTTCAATGCGAGTTTTTGATGAGCGAAGATGTGGCCATTCAATCAGGACAGATGAAAATTTCAAAATAACGGAATAAACGCTCCCAAAAATAACGAAAAAATGATTTTTAAAAATTTTTTGATTTAATAAAAAGTGAAAGTGCATTTTCGATAGCCAATAAGATTGCTCTGTTTGACCTACCAGCCAATCAAAACCCTAGTATCATTTTTTGGTTGTGCCTTTTTTGGTATTTTTGGGTGAGTTTCGCGATTCAAAAAGTGGCACAAAAACTTGATTTTTCGCATATTAATTTGTCTAAAATCTGATTTGTCGACTACTAAAATTACTAAAAAATGATCAAATTTTAAAATCTTGCGCTTTTGAAGCTCTATTTTAGGCAATTTCTATTCGAAACCCGGTTAACCTCGCCGGTGTCATCCTCTTTCTTTTAGAACCCCCACCCTTCCCTCCCCGCAAAAAATTCCTGGCCACGTCTGGAAGCTGTCATTTCCAAGTTTACCATAAATTTCCATCTGTGAATAAGTTATCGACGATTCGAAATCGCGTCTCCGCCGATCAGCCCCAGCAAAAGCCATTGGAAACGCTTTCTTCACCGTCAATTTGGAATATTTCGACAGAAAATTTGAACAAATTCTAGACCCGCAAATTGCTCTTACAGTAGGGGACTATGCGAATGTTGAGATTTCGCTGGATCAGAAGATTCAGGGGATAGAACTCGGGTTGTCAAATTGTACAGTTTACGGGGAGGGGGAAAATGATAGCTTTGGGGTGGTGGATTATCCCGGATGTCCGGATCAAATTGTTAAGGCCAGCTTGTTTGATGGAGAATCTCAGGAAAAGGTTTCAAAATTAAATTCAAAAACCATAATTTTGTTGCCGCATGTCGCAACAAGTCGCTCAATATCTCCAGATGTCGCGAAAACTCATTTGATGTCGCTTAATGTCGTCGAATGTCGCCAAAATTGATGATTATGTCAATAAAAAATCGATCAAACCAAGTCGACATTAAGCGACATTTTGTGACATTTGGCGATATTTGGCGACATTTGGTGACATTTGGCGACATTTGGTGAAATAAAGATATTTCCAGATGTCGTGGAAAATCACTTGATGTCGCGGAATGTCGCTGAATGTCGTTGAATATCGCTTTTGTCAATAGATATATTTACGTCGTTTAACGACATTTGCGACATTCGGCGACTTTCTTGAAAATAAGGCGACAAAAACCAGGGCATCTTTTTGTCAATTGAATAAAGCGAAGTGGTTACGGAATCACTGTATTCCGCTGTCTCACGCGTGGCACGCAAAGCCGCAAATTTCGGCCGACTCGGTTTCAGTCGCTTTCAACCGAGCGGATCATTAATCACCGATTTCATGCTCACGCAAGAGACAAAGACGCGCCATCAGCTCGACGGCATTCTATTACGCCCCTTTTAAATCCCGGAAATGAAATTATAATTCCATCCTAATAATCTTATCGCCTTGCGTCATTCTATTCACTCTCGCGGGAAAATTGAAAACCTTTCAAAAAGTGGGAAAGAAGACTCTCTTATCGAGTCTTTGAATTTGTCTCCGACACTTTTGCCGCTTCTGTTCTTCGCCTTGCTTGCCGAGCTGTCATTTGCGACTCAACTGATGAAGAGTAAGTTTCTTTCAAGAATGACTGTAGTTTGAATATTCTATTTTCAGGTCTGAGTGTAAAAACAATGCTCCACCAGCGAAACAAGAAGATTTCTTCCGCCGCCAAAATAGGTCAAAATCTGTAAAACTCGCTTCTTTATGTAAATATTCCTCCATGATTTCATGCAGTCAATAAAATCACCCTCTGCAAAATTTATCCTCAAGAGTTTAGGAAACTAGAATCTACTAGGTAGATAAGGTTGTCAAAGCAATCGTCTACTACATCAGCCTATTAATCATTTTTCAAAATTTGCGACGAAAAATGCTTCCCAGATTACAAAAAATTCGACTGATTTATGGTTTTTAAAAATGAAGTAGTCTTGTATGAAAAATTTGTTAAATTCGATCCAAAACCCATAATTATCAATATTCGTGAAATATGGAGTTTCGACTGATTTTTTCATGATATTTTTTTATTAAGACAAAGTAAATTTGAAGTGCTTTGAAAAATATTCTACGTCTGGAATTATCTCGCGAATTTCTCAACTTCTCGCGAGGTAAATAAATCTTCACATATAAAATCAACTTCACAAGCATTTTTCTCATTCCTCAGTGCGAAAATAAAAAAATTGCAAAACTTTTCTTCACACTATTTTTCATTCTGCCGGCTAATTCGCAAGAGATTTCTTCGAGATGCTTTCCTTTTGGTTAGCATCAGCTTTTCTCCGTCTCGGCTGGGCCCAGATAACATGCGATAATGAGAACTGCCCGAACCCGACCGGAACTTCTTACGAGACGAAATTGAATTGCGGCGTTTTGGTCAACGATGGAACCAATGGACAGTCGAAAAAGTGCGCGTATTTGATGAAAACGAGGGAGAATGGCCGGAGTCGAACGCTTTTTGCTCTGCGCTAAAATTTACAATCAACGGAACGGAAGTCGAGGGAGGAAATATGCTGTCAATCAGATCGCCTGAAGAAAATGAAGTCATCAGACAGTACCTCATCGGACTCATGGACGGAGCAAACGTCTACTACTATCCCCGAATCGGGCTTCGAAAAACATGCCAAAACTGCGAGTGGTACTGGTCCGACGGGAGTCCAATTACTTACACCAATTGGTACGGAACCGAGCCAAATACCTACTACTACGATTGCGCCAGAATCTAGTAAGTCGTTCTTGAAATCTTCGCTAAATAAAAATTCTAGTTATTCGAGCAACGGCGCTGTTTACAACGGAACTTGGATAGACATAACCTGCACGGGAATCTACTCAGATCTGTGCCAATTCGAAGTCGATGGAAAACAACCTTGGGATCCAGAGCCAGACAATGGTCTACCCGCCAAAGGAGGTTGCAAACCCGGCTGGTACCCCTTCGGCGGCTACTGCTACAAATTCGACGGTTTTCGGGTCGATGGCGGATCAGGTTTCGACCCAGCTGGATTTTTGAAGTGGAATGATGCGCGAGCAAAATGCAACGAGGACTGGGAAGGAGCTGATTTGGCCATGCTTCCGACAGCAGAGCACAATTCTCTGGTCGCATCGCTACTTGGGCCGTGGTTTTTCGGGGCGGATCCGTTTATCGGAGTTTACAATCATGCTTATTATGATTATTACTTCAGGTTTTAGCTCTCCTCTTTGACCCCTAATCGAATATTCTTGCTAGTCTGATCAACGAAGACCGCCTCAAATACGACAACTGGGTGCCCGGCAAGCCCAATCACGCCCAAAGTACCCAAGACAAATGCGTCGTCATGTCCTGGCGAAACGACGCAAATTTCCACGATGCTTTCCGAGTTGGTCAATGGAACAACGTCTACTGCGGCACTTACGCAACCGCTGGCAATTATGGCGATCCCCACCCGTGGGTTTGCTCGCACGAACAGAGTTCTAGCTATCAGTCGCAGTACCCGACTTGGATTTCGCTGCCCGATGTGAAATGCGGTCCCGGTTGGATTCCTTACCATTCTGCTTGCTACAAGGTTTTTGTTTCTTTATCATTTCTTGATTCAATCATTGTTGTTTTCAGCTATTTACTGATCGAAAACCCTTCGATGATGCAAACAAATATTGTTCGGAAAATGGCGAGTCGGCAGCAAAAGCAACCTATTTGATCACAATGTGGGACGAGTACGAAGTCGAGTTTGCCAAATCCTTCTTCCGGGACGATCAACTCCCGCAGCGAAAGCCAACAGATCTGCCAGACGGTATCTGGATCGGTCTCAAGAAAAAGTAAGCACAAGAAGTTTGATTTTTGGAATTCCTCTTTTAAGTGATCGGCAAGGAAGCGACAGATTCGAATGGATCGATGGAGTGCCACTGACGCGTCAAGATTGGGCTGGCGACTCTGGAAATCAGCCCTGCGCGTTTTGGACTCGGAGACGAAAATGTACAAGACCTCCGGCTGCTCCGAGCAAAAGCGTTCATTTGCAAAAGCGAGTTCTACGAGGTCCCGCTCAACTCATACGAAGACATCGATGCAAAGCTCGGGAAGCCTCAGGAATGCCCCGATGGTTGGAGCCTCCTCGGCCACCACTGCACGAGAATCTACGAGGAGGCGCAGCCGTATTCACAAGCCGCCATGCAATGCAAAATCCAAGGCGGCAATCTCGGCAGCATCCACTCCTCCGGCTACAACAGAATCATAAAAGACCAGTTCACGAAAACTGCCCACGCCGAAAACTCGATGTGGATCGGAATGCAGTACAAAGGCGCTTTCGGCTGGCAGTGGGACGATGGAACAGGCGCCAGCTATTTTAACTGGGAAAATGGGGAGCCGAATGATTGGCAAGAGCCGGAAGATTGCGTGGCGATGGATGAGATTGGCACTTGGAAGGACTCGCCGTGTCGGGAATCGAAACCGTTCCTCTGCAAAAAGGTCGCTCCGACTGAATTTTGCACTGCCGCGATTTCGAGCAAAATCAAGTCTTGTGGATTCGTCGGCATTTCGGAGACAGAGTGCATGTTGGAATTCGGATGCTGTTTCGACCCAACAATCGACTCGGGCATGGGCAACAACTGTTTCCAACCAAAGCCTCCGGTCGACGTCGGCATGGCCGCAGGCGCTGCTGTCGGCGTCACCGTCTTTGTCATTGCCGCTGTTGCTGGAGGATTCTTTTTCTACACGAAGAGAAATGAAGCCACTATCGGCGGCATTACCAATCCTCTTGCTTGAACTTTTTCTTTATTTTATTTTCCTTACTTTCTTCTGCAATAAAAATCTCAAGGCGAGTTAAAACAAGCACAATTGAAATTAATTGATCATGGGCTATTCCTCCATGATTTCATGCAGTCAATAAAATCACCCTTAGCACCTGTTATTCTAGAATCATTTTTTGACAACTAGTTTTGTCAAAAGCAGAAAACAGTATCAGTTTGAAAAATGTCAGTTTCGGGAAACCAAGCAGCCCAAAATTATCCATCGTCTTCTATTATAAAAATTCCGATTGAAGAGGATTATACAGGTAAAAAAGAAGATAATTTAATGAGGCTTATTTCTCTCTCTCAAGCAAAGAATAAGCAACATGGCTCGACTGAAGCGCCAAAGCCGTCTTCTTCTGCAATGGGTGGTCTTTGCAGTGGTCTCGAAGGAGTTGGCCTCATTTTAAAAGGCCTCATTTTAAAAGGCCTCATCTTAAAAGGCTTCATTTTAAAACAGTTTAAAATGAGGCCTTTTAAAATGAAGCCTTTTTAAAATGAGGCCTATTTATTTAAAAAGAGGCCAAAAATTCCGAATCGGCTGAAACTGCTTTGTTGATTTTATGTTTGAACTTCATAAGCTCACTTGGCAAGTAATCGAAAAAAATTTTTTGGATAATCAATGATAAGTAATCATATCTCCACCCTTTTCTCCTTGATCAGGGTTCTAAATTTGTGGTAAAATCTAAAAGTCTTATCCGTCCGTGTCCGGATCGAAAAACGGATTTTTATCCGGTCTTGTCCCGGACATGTCCGTTTTAGTCCGTTCCTGTCAGTAAAATCCGGCCATATTTTTGTAAGAAAAAGTCTGGTCATGACCGTAAATGTCCGTAAAATTCTATGCAAAAAAACAAATTTTTATCGAAATAAGCCCTAAGAGTCTCGAGCCAAGACCAAAAAATCTTTAAGAAATAAATTCGACAGAAATTTCATCGAAAAATCGAATTCTACTCAAGCCAATTTTAGAAAATCAAGGGAGTGGCCTGGGACAAGAGTCGTAAGTTTCATGAGCGACTGAATTTTTCCAAAGGAGCTACAGTGGTGTGAGGAGTTTCCGCACCTCTAAAGAGCGGGTAAAGGGGTGCGCGTCATTAGCTACGGTTTGGGGGTTTGCGTCAATAGCTACGGTGCGTCAATAGCTACGGTTAAAAATGAGTCAAAGGGAGCAAGGGAATTGACAGACAGTTTAGGGTGGGCATCAACCTACCGGTCGGGTTAGGGTTAGGTCGGGTTTGCCGGTTATTTCGAAAATTACAAGAATCTGAAGCTATCTAGGTCGGTCGTAACGAGAGTGTGGTCGCTTTTCGCTTGCAAAAATTTGAATAAGTAACATAGTCGGACAATTTTTATTGAATCAAGGCTAAATATGGTATTTTTCGTATTGGTATCATTGTTTGTAAGCAAAAACGACCACAATCTCTTTCCGACCAACCTAGATAGATTCAAATTCTTGTAATTTTCGAAATAACCGGCAAACCCGACCTAGGTTGATGCCCACCCTAAACGTTCTGTCAATTCCCATGCTCCCTTTGACTCATTTTTAGCCGTAGCTATTGACGCACCGTAGCTTTTGACGCAAACGTAGCTACTGACGTAAACCCCCAAACCGCAGCAGTTGACGCGCACCCGGTAAAAGGTGCGGAAACGCAGCACTCACTTTTGTCACTTCTAGAAGAAATATGCAGAAAAAGTGCGGCCTAGGGGTGCGGTAACGCACCACTCACAAATGGTGCGGAAACTTCTCACACCACTGTATGCTCAGCCGAAAGACTTCATAAAATTGCTTACTTAGCTCAGCATCAGCTGGTAAAAACCAGCTCTGCTCAGAGTGGATAAAAATTAATTTGAAGAGAGAAATAAGTGAATAATTTTCTCAAGTACGAGAGGGGGCCACAACTATAATGGGCAAATTCTTCCCGCGGCAGACAATTATTACGGGTTCAATATTCTTCCCTGGGCTCACTAAGTTAACGGGTTTCAGACTCTCAAAATGAATTGAGCGAACTCAGTTGAACTTGAAATCGGCGAACCAATTGGATTTTGTTTTGGCACTTCTAGAAAATCCAAATTACAATTCTAGAAAAACAAAGAGCAAGTTTGCCACGGGCGCTCAATTCTTTTCGAGAATCTGAAACCCGTTAACTTAGTGAGCCCAGGGAAGAATATTGAACCCGTAATAATTGTCTGCCGCGGGAAGAATTTGCCCATTATAGTTGTGGCCCCCTCTCGTACTTGAGAAAATTATTCACTTATTTCTCTCTTCAAATTAATTTTTATCCACTCTGAGCAGAGCTGGTTTTTACCAGCTGATGCTGAGCTAAGTAAGCAATTTTATGAAGTCTTTCGGCTGAGCATACAGTGGTGTGAGAAGTTTCCGCACCATTTGTGAGTGGTGCGTTACCGCACCCCTAGGCCGCACTTTTTCTGCATATTTCTTCTAGAAGTGACAAAGTGAGTGCTGCGTTTCCGCACCTTTACCGGGTGCGCGTCAACTGCTGCGGTTTGGGGGTTTACGTCAGTAGCTACGTTTGCGTCAATAGCTACGGTGCGTCAATAGCTACGGCTAAAAATGAGTCAAAGGGAGCATGGGAATTGACAGAACGTTTAGGGTGGGCATCAACCTAGGTCGGGTTTGCCGGTTATTTCGAAAATTACAAGAATTTGAATCTATCTAGGTTGGTCGGAAAGAGATTGTGGTCGTTTTTGCTTACAAACAATGATACCAATACGAAAAATACCATATTTAGCCTTGATTCAATAAAAATTGTCCGACTATGTTACTTATTCAAATTTTTGCAAGCGAAAAGCGACCACACTCTCGTTACGACCGACCTAGATAGCTTCAGATTCTTGTAATTTTCGAAATAACCGGCAAACCCGACCTAACCCTAACCCGACCGGTAGGTTGATGCCCACCCTAAACTGTCTGTCAATTCCCTTGCTCCCTTTGACTCATTTTTAACCGTAGCTATTGACGCACCGTAGCTATTGACGCAAACCCCCAAACCGTAGCTAATGACGCGCACCCCTTTTACCCGCTCTTTAGAGGTGCGGAAACTCCTCACACCACTGTAGCTCCTTTGGAAAAATTCAGTCGCTCATGAAACTTACGACTCTTGTCCCAGGCCACTCCCTTGATTTTCTAAAATTGGCTTGAGTAGAATTCGATTTTTCGATGAAATTTCTGTCGAATTTATTTCTTAAAGATTTTTTGGTCTTGGCTCGAGACTCTTAGGGCTTATTTCGATAAAAATTTGTTTTTTTGCATAGAATTTTACGGACATTTACGGTCATGACCAGACTTTTTCTTACAAAAATATGGCCGGATTTTACTGACAGGAACGGACTAAAACGGACATGTCCGGGACAAGACCGGATAAAAATCCGTTTTTCGATCCGGACACGGACGGATAAGACTTTTAGATTTTACCACAAATTTAGAACCCTGATCAAGGAGAAAAGGGTGGTGATATGATTACTTATCATTGATTATCCAAAAAAATTTTTTTCGATTACTTGCCAAGTGAGCTTATGAAGTTCAAACATAAAATCAACAAAGCAGTTTCAGCCGATTCGGAATTTTGGCCTCTTTTAAATAAATAGGCCTCATTTTAAAAAGGCTTCATTTTAAAAGGCCTCATTTTAAACTGTTTTAAAATGAAGCCTTTTAAGATGAGGCCTTTTAAAATGAGGCCTTTTTAAAATGAGGCCAACTCGTCTCGAAGATATTCTTGAACTTTGTGGATGTCCGGAACCATGCCGAGATGTGTGCTATGGAATAGTTTGCTGTAAATGGATTCTGTTCCTTTTATTCTTCTTTGCGGTCATCTATCGATTCATGACAAAACCAGATGATTGAAAGCATAAATGCACTGTATAAACTGTTCCTTATCTGATCTTTATTTTCTAATAAAAATATTTTCAAAAAAGAAAAAAGGGATATTCTAGTCCAAAATTCGAGTCAAAAGCCTTTTGCTTTCGCTTCTCAAATGATAAGAGACGGATATCAGATCGGAGTCGGGCGACTTGGTATTCGTACTCAACCAAAAGGTCAAGTTGAGAGTTAGTGGCAGGCAGCTCGAGCTTGGCATCATCGTTTCTTGAGAATAAAAAGCTAATAATTTATGAGGAATCGGCAAGTGTCGAAAAATTTAATAGTTAAGTTTATGATTGTAGATATTTATGAGATAAGGAGTTTTTGAAAATCGATCATATTTCCGACTCGACCTTTTTATAATTTAACTCACAAATTTAATTTTTGGGAAAGGGTCGGACTCATTACCAATTGGTAACCCATTACCAATTGTGGTAACCCATTACCAATTTTGGTAACCCATTACCAAATTCGTCAAAAAGTTTCGATATTTTTCATTCAAAGAGCGAGTTTGCGCTCCGCGCCTGTATAATAGAAAACTTGTGGGGTGTTTTATTCATTAACTTGGCGAAAAATTAAAAATAAATTGATAATCGACTACCAAAAATTGGTAATGGGGTACCAAAAATTTTGGTAATGAGTCCGACCGTTCCCGTAATTTTTTGTTAGAGTTTTTGGTGAGAAAATCTTTCTGGTTATTTGTATAAAGAATCACTTTTAGTGTCAACGTTACGATAACAATTATGAAACTTTTTAGAAAAGAGCTTCAAAAACCATAATACTCGGTTAAATTTGATCATTTGGGTTTTATTTTTGAAAACAGGACTGAGCAACAAAGAATACTTAGTGTCTGTACATCAAAACGTCGTCTCCAGAACTCAACTGGAGACGAAAACTAGACTACTGTCTGATAAGAGGAAGAATCGGCGCAGGCCAAAAAATAGTATTGAGTCTAAGTTTGAAAGGTTTCAAGAGTAAAATTCTAAATAAACAGACTAAACAAGACTATGGAAATTTCCATTTGGATTTTGATAACCAATAAGATTGCTGTATTTGGCCTACCAGCCAATGAAAACCCTGATCCGTAATATCACTCCTATAAATTGGTTTTACCCAAATTTCTCCAAATTTCTGTTTTTCCTCATTTCTATTGAGCGCGGTGATTTCGAGTGGAAATGAGTGCTTTGATTAAAAGAAAATTTGCGGTGTTGGAAAAAGCGCGCTCTAAAAAGGTTGATTCTAGTTTTGATTACCAAGAGCGACTCATTTACGCGGCTCTTTTCTACTCGAAATTTTCAATTTTCGCGTAAGAGGCAACTCGTCCTCCGATTTCCTTCAAAACTCAGAAATTTTGAAAAATTTTTTCTTGATAAAAATCTTTAATGATATCGTTTACTGAAAGGAAACCCAAAAGTAGTGGCAGGACCAGACACTTGGCTAAAGTATTTTCGCATCATTTCATCGTCGAATTCGTCCATGGCATCGAGAGCAAGCTGCTTTTGGTCGGCGCGAGAAGCGCGGTACTCTTTATGTAATCACTCATGAAGTTTTCGGGCGGATCGTGGTGCTCCTAAAAAAGGTTACTGATTTTTCCCACGCGATTTTCTTAAGGGGGTAGAAAC